ATCCCTAGTAATTCCTAGTAATCCCTAGCAAGCCCTAGTAATCTTTAGTAATCTTTAATAATCTTTAATAAGCCCTAGTAATCTTTAGTAATTCCTAGTAATCCCTAGTAATCYTTAGTAATCCCTAGTAATCCCTAGTAATCCCTAGTAATTTTTAGCAAGCCCTAGTAATCTCTAATAATCCCTAATAATCCCTAGCACTTTTTAATATTTCTTAGTAATTCCTAAAGCCCTTTAGCACTCCCTAGTAATTCCTAACATTATTTAATATTTTTTAGTACTTTTTAATAATACCTAACACTATTTAACGCTTTTTACCAGCGCTATTTTTAATAATTTTTAACACTTTTTAATTCCCTTTAGCGCTTACTAGCGCTCCCCCTATTATTTTTTATAGTATTTTTTAATACTCTTTCTAATAATCTTCTAGTAATTTTTTTAATATTTTTTATAATACTTTTTATTAATAATTTATAATACTTTTTATAATACTTTTTATAGGTAATCCCTAGCTATCTTTCTAATACTTTTTTTAATACTTTTTATAGGTACCCTAATTCTTAGCTATTTTTTTAATTATTTTTTTAGTACTTTTCCTAGCGCTTTTTACTAACACTCCTTAATAATATTTAAAAAGTAATTTATAGCATTTACTAGCGCCCTTTAGTACTTTTTACTAGCGCTTTTTAATAGAGAATTGCTATTCTCACAGAGAACATTAAGAATCTCACAGAGATCTTTGCCAACTCAGCGGGAGGCTAGCCACATTAGTACTAGCGCTGGTTAATCTACAGCCAAGTGCTTTATAGCCCTAGTCTAAGCCTAATTAGTACTAGCAGCCCTATTTAGCCATCCTTACCACCATAAAAAAATTTTCCAACTTTACTAAGTTATAGTTTATATAGGACCAGAACTTAACACCATGTAGTATAATTATAATAAAACTTAGCTAGTAAATCTAGTATTAAATACTAGTTTACTTTATTTTTTTTTTAATTTTAAAAACCACCTACCAAGCAAACCCTCTGTTAATAAATATAACTTTAAAAATAAAAATAAATATAATAAAATTACTTTGCTTAAAAATAGCTTTAAAAAGTACTTTATTAGCATAAATAAACCTGTGGCCTATTTAAAGTTATTTATAAAAATAAATAACTTTATAGTTTTTAAAAAAAGCAGCTCCAAATACCCTTTAAAAGTTAAAAAAGTTATTTATATTAAATTTAAATACCACCGCAAAGTAGTACCTATACTAAAGTTAAGCTTTTTTTTTAATATAAAGCTATTATAAAGGCCTTAAAACACTAGGTCCTACTATATTAATTACCCCTTTAAAGTTATTATAAAGCTTCACGGCATAACTATAGTACTTAAAGTTATTAAGGGCTCTTATAATTATAAGCATACTAAAGTATTTTTAATCCCTTCTCTTTGCTAAGATTATATTAAAAACTATAAAGTAAAGATCTTTAGCTTAATATCTAGATTATTTAGCTATTATCCCCGGCATGTTATAAGATATTTAAAAAAAAACACTAAACTTTGCCCTTTAAAAATAAAAAATTTTTATAACCTCCGCGAAGAGTTCGCGTGTTAGTTTTTAAATAATAAAATATTAACTAAAACACTTATTAAGTGGCTGCCTTAATAAAAAAGTAACTTTATAAGGTATTAAATAAACACCAAGAACTAGTTATAATTTATATTTCTTGCCTATTTTACCTTAATTAAGTAACTTAGGCAAAACCCCTTTATTATTATTATTAACTACACCTATAAAATAAATTAATATTAGATACCTTTCTGTACAATTGCTAGAGTTACCTTTACTAATAAAACTTTTATTATTATATATAGCTTTATAAAAAATAAGACCAAGCCCTTTTATACCTAAATACTATAATAACTCCGCGAGCTTTATATATAAAAAGGCCTTAAAATACCAGGGGTTGCTATTATTAATAAAAATAAGGCTTTGCTTAAGGCGCTTTATATTATTTTTCCTTTAATTAATTAAATTTTTTATATTTAGCATATTAACTAAAAGATCCTTAGCTAAGCAAAGCGGGCTATATTAATTACGCTTTAAAATAGCCTTAATTTAAATAACAAGAAATAAAGTTAGCGGGTCCAAGAGTAGTAAACTAAAATACTAGGATTATAATTTTAAGCCATAAAGTTTTTAATAAAGGCTATTTTTAAAAGTAAATAAAAGGTTTTTAAAAAAATATACCGGTAGCCCATGTACGCGAATCTCCTAAAGTATATTAAAAAAAAATAGCTTTAAAAAGACACTAGGAAGTTCTTCCTAGCCTATTACACTAATAATTATTAATACTTTAGCTAGCTTGTCACCTCTTAGGTGGAGTTATTTTATTATTAGTTAAAAAAAAATCTTAATTTATTATAAAGCAAGCTAATCCAGGTGGTATCTCTTATTAATAATATTATTAAGGCTTAAAATAATAAGGCTTAATACCTATATAATAATAATACTTTAAGGCCTCCGCGTTAATATACCCATCTACTTTTTAAAAAAGTTATAATAAAGGTCTTTATATACACCATGCAAAAGGTAATTAATATTATAAATTTTTATTTACTAAAGCACCTTAATATACTAATTAGGCGCTGTATAAGTAGTTACTAGTAAACTCTTGGCCTTTTTTATATTTATTAAATTTAGGAAGCGCTTTATAAAAACCAAGGCCTTTTTTTTAAATAATTTTATAACTAGTGGCTTCTAGCTCCAAGATCTTAAATTCTTGCCTAATTTTAACGCCCTGTTATTTATTTTCCACCTAAAAAATAGCTAAAGGGATGGCCTTAAGGGGCTTTAAATTAACTAAAGCACTTTACTAAGCAAGATTTATTTAAGTTTAAACATATAAATTAACTAGTTAAGAAGGGGGGGGAGGCCGGTATTAAGGTTTTTTATTAAAATAAATGTTTGCAGTCAAGCGCAGCGCAGTGGGAGGAATAAGGATTTTATATTTTAAATAACATGTTTTTATTAGTTAGTATATATAGCTATATAAAAGTTTAGTACTTGCCTGTTTTTAGTTAAGTTTAAATATTAATTTTTGTATAAAAAATTAAAATTTAAGTTTAAAATCAAGATTATGCTCTGCATTAACTTTTTTTACCAGGCAAAGCCTAAAGGGGCTTAGTTCCCGCCCTTCCCGCCCCTGTGGAGCGGGCCATTGGCTAATAGGGGGGCGCTAGTATAAAAAAGGCTTAGTTGGCCAAAAATACTGCAGATCTCTGTGAGATTCTTAATATTCTCTGTGAGAATAGCAATTCTCTTTTAATAATACCTAGTATTTTATACTAGTAATTTTTATTAAAAATTCCTAGTAATCCCTAGTAATTCCTAGTAATTCCTAGTAATTCCTAGTAATTAACAGCGCCCTTTAATATTTTTTAATAATTTTTAGCACTCCCTAGTAATCCCTAAAAATTACTAGCACCTTTTAGTGCTTTTTAGTAATTTTTAATACTTTTAATATTTTTTAATAATCCCTAGCACCCTTTAATACTATTTATTAATAATTTTTAATAATTTTTCTAGCACTTTTTAGCAACACTTTCTAGTAGTTTTTAGTATTTTTTAATAATAATATTTAATAATCTCCCTAGTAATCTTTTAATAATAATTTTTAGTATTAATTTTTAGCACTTTTTAAAGGTTATTCCTAGTCGTAATCTTCCTATTAATCTTTTTATTAATTTTTTTATTAATTTTTTTAATTATAATATCCAGCGCTCTCTAGTGCTCCCTAGTACTTTTTAAAAATAATATTTAGCTATTTTTAATCCCTAGTAATCCCTAGTAATCCCTAGTAATTTTTAGTAATCCTTAGTAATTTTTATTAATTCCCCCTAGTAATAATTTATAGTAATAATCCATAATATTTTTTAATAACCTTTTTTTATTTTTTAAATATTTTTAAGTTTTTTAAACTATTAATATCTTACTTTATACTTAATAACTATTATTAAATTATATACTAAATAGGTTTTTATCGCGTGGTTATATTTTAAACCTAAAAATATATATTAAACTTAATAAATATATATTAACAAAGTTAATATATATTAAAGGTATATTAAATTAAATAAATATATATTAGCTTATTTAACATATATTTAATATATATTTAATATTTTAAATATATATTTTTTATATATAATATATGTTTCTTATAAATTACCTTTAATATATTTTAAAAATATTAAATATATTCTAAATAATTTATTTTAAAGCTATAAAAATATATTTACATAATATATATACTTTTTTTTTAATATATTTTTTTTAATATACTATTAATATTATAATTAGACGTAATATAATAGTACGGCTATACTTAATAATAATTTGCTATTGCTATTATACTATTGCTATACTCAATACCCCCCCTGCGGACTGACGGGTAGCGCTGGATGCTGGGATTGAGTGAGATCGGTCTGCGTAAGAGCTGCGCTAGAATGAGAACGCAACAAACTAGCCCCGCTACTATTGATAGGGGGCTCGAGGACATCATGTCAAAGACTGGTTGAAGGTCCCAGAATAAAGTCCTTGGAATTGCCATCGCGTTGATAGGATAGTCATGGTCAGAAATAGTGAGGAGGGGTTTTGGAGGGCATATATATGGATGGCGCGTATCATATGATAATCTGACGAATCCTTGTCGTCGGATAGGATATAGTGCTAGCAGGGGTTTCGTAGAATTCCATTCCATGAAATGTCCTAAGACACGCTAGTTTGATGTATGCCTTGGATTGCGAGATAGTCGAGCAGCGCCGGGGCTAGGTATGCGCGTGGGTGGATCTACCCCAAACATGCTAGTAGTGCGTGCCAGTAGCACAATATCGATGATCAGCAGTAGCTTGGAAATCGAAAAGATATCGCCAGAGCCAGAGCCCTATATAGTCTCCTCTCTGAAGTTGAGCTGAAAGGCGAGTGAGCACCAAGAACATTCAACATTTGCACCATGAACGGTTACAGCAATGGCACGAGCCATTCGCAAGCCCACCGCTACACCAATGGCCATGCTGAAGCTGTCCCAGTGGCAATCTGCAGCATGGCGATGAGATTACCAGGCGGCATTCGCGACGACGAAGCCCTGTATCGGTTTTTGGTGAACAAAGGCGACGCCCGCTCGGTCACACCAGCAAATCGATATAATGTCAACGCGTACTACAGTCCACACGGGAAGCCGGGGACAGTCATTACCAAGCATGGATATTTCCTTGACGATGTCGATTTCGCTCAATTCGATCACTCCATGTTTACGGCCGCTGCCGCCGAAGCCGAATTGATGGACCCGAATCAGAGACTCGTCCTCGAGGTGGTCCGCGAGGCTTTGGAGCGGGCGGGCGAGAACTGGCGTGGGAAACCGATTGGTACGTATGTTGGTATGTTCACAGAGGACTGGCAGGAGATACACCACAAGGACAGCAACTTCTTCCACCCGTACCTGATGATGGGGACGCTGGACTTTGCGCTGGCGAACCGCGTATCGTATGAATATGATCTCCGAGGCCCAAGGTATGCGAAATTTTGCAAAAGCGATCTCTTAGCAATGCTGATTCGGTATAGTGTCATGTACAAGACAGCCTGCTCGTCTGCCGGTATTGGCCTTCATGAGGCGTTGGAGGCAATTCGTAGAGGGCACATCTCGTCGGCTGTCGTGGCCGGCACAAATCTGATCCTAGCCCCTGGTCTCACGGTGTCCATGAGTCTGCTCATGGCTTTATCGCCAGAAGGCTCATCAAAGTCCTTCGACGCCACCGCAGATGGATATGCCCGTGGCGAAGCAGTTACAGCGCTATACATCAAACGACTTGACGAGGCCATTCGTGACGGCAACCCTATCCGCGCTGTCATCCGCTCTTCGGCTGCTGGGGCCGATGGACGATCCAAAGGTGGAATGGCAAATCCCAACCCGGATGCCCATGAAACCATCATTAGAAAGGCATACGCTTTAGCTGGTCTAGACATGTCCCAGACAGCGATGGTCGAAGCGCATGGTACTGGGACACCAGTTGGAGACCCAATAGAAGTGGAGGCGATTGCACGCTGTTTTGGCGAGTACGGAGCATATCTGGGGGCTGTGAAGCCAAATCTGGGACACAGCGAAGGGGCCGCAGCGATTACAAGCGTGATGAAAGCTGTGCTTTCGCTCGAACATCGAACCATTCTTCCGAACATCAAGTTCAATAATCCAAACCCCGCAAGTCAGTGCTTCCCACCCTCTGTACCGCTAAGATCTGCTCACAATCGCAGTCCCATGGGAAGTAGTAGTAGTAGTAGTGATATTTAACGCCTCGGGGGTACTAAGGCTGGTTTGACACCCTTTCCCAACCTCCCTTGGGGTATGGAGGCGGGCTGACGCTAGGATAGATAAGATACAGGTCCAAAGTTCCTTCCCCTATGTCTAAGTTCCCTTAACAATATCCATTGCCTAGATAGCCACTTGCGAATTCTCGTGGGTTATTATGTGCAATCGTCCCGACATATAGCCGTTTGCACTGTTTTGTTAAGGCTCGGGGGAGCGCGGATTTTGAGGCCTTAAAGGCGCGGAGGTTATATCTTCCTAACCGAGGAAGATTGGTGGTTCAAGGCCAACTTAGGGCTTAGGGTAGCGGGTAAAAAGGCGCGGAGGTATAGAAGCCCTAGGGGGGGCTGGAGGTCGTGGCTCCGGGGGGAGCGTAGATATTAAGGCCTCTTTTTGTATAGAGAGGCCAAATTTCGACGTGGGAGTTGTATTGGTAGGAGTGGGATTTGAACCCACGGCCCTGTACCTAGACAAGGCCCCTGTGACCGCCCACTCGGCCACTCCCACCCAGTCCCATGGGAAAGGGCCAAGCTGGTCGTTCCGGTGGAAGCAACTCCCTGGCCGGAAGGACGTGCTGAGCGTATGAGTATTGGGTCGTACGGAATAGGAGGGTCCAACGCCCATGTAAGTTGAGCAACTCCCCCTTATCAAATGCAGCCTGACAGATACCATATAGTTCATTATCGACTCTGCCGCCTCGTTCAACCTGGAGGTCCCCAGTACTATTCCGCCAGCCATCCAAGAGCCAAAGCAGCAACCGACGCTGTTGTTGTTCTCCGCAGGACGCCCAGAAGCGCTCAAGGACATGGTCAAAAGTCACGCAGAATATATCACAAAGCATCCGGAAAGATTGGCGGATGTGGCGTACACTTTGGCGGAGCGGCGAGAGCGTCTGAAGTATAGAGCCTTCTCCGTCATCACTGAAGGCACGGATGCATTAGGTGAGCCGGCAGCTGTTGCATCCCAAGGCATCGAGCAAGCGGCGTTTATCTTCACGGGACAGGGCGCTCAATGGTAATTTCATCTTGTCAGCTCCTTGGGCATTGATGATACTGACTGTGTCCAGGGTGCAGATGGGTCGACAGCTTATGGTCGACTATCCTTCGTTCCTGGCAAACATACGATCCATGGACCAGGCTCTTCAAGGGCTGGATGGCGATGCACCCGCCTGGTCAATTGAAGGTTAGTTACTAAAACATAGTAGCCGCACGAATGCTGACAGGTCAGATATCCTCTTCTCATGCGTTGACAAGACGCAACTCGCAAAAGCAGAATTGTCGCAACCGCTTTGCACGGCTGTTCAAATCGCAGTCGTTGACCTCCTGGCTTCTTGGGGTATCATTCCCGCAGCTGTGGTTGGACATTCAAGCGGCGAGATTGCTGCAGCATACGCCGCGGGTGCCTTGTCGAAAGAGGGTGCCTTGATAGCTGCCTACTACCGGGGGTTTGTGTGTAAGAATCCTTCCAAGGCAGGGGCCATGGCAGCCGTTGGACTTGGAAAGGACGCGGTCCTGCCATTCTTATCAGGGTTGATCGGTGTCGGAGTCGCTTGTGAGAACAGCGGTTCTAGCGTTACATTGTCAGGCGACACGGAAGTCCTGCGACAGGTTCTGGGCGCGATAAAGAGTCACAATGACCAGGCCTTCGTACGAAAGCTCGCCGTGGAAATGGCCTATCATTCGGGTAAGACTCTTGCCTCGTACAGACCAGCCGAGTTTGCTTACCAATTATTAGAGCACATGAAAATCGTTGGTGACACGTACCGAGAGCTCATCTCCAAACACATTGTGACGGGTTCGCCCAGGATTCCTTTCTACTCCAGCGTATATGGCGGCAAAGTACTGTCAAGCGCTTCCGACTTCGGACCTTGTTACTGGCAGGAGAACCTCGAGAACCCAGTCCTCTTCCATACGGCGGTCAAAGCCCTATTGAAGGAATCGCCCCGCATGGTCCACGTAGAAGTTGGACCGCACCATGCCCTTCGCGGACCCTTGCGCCAAACCTACCAAGAAACAGGCATCTCCGTGCAGCACATCCCGACCCTGACTCGAGGCGAGAACGACACACGCGCTCTTCTCTCCACAGTCGGCCAGCTATTCGCAGCTGGCTTACCTGTTACTCTTCCTTCCGAGCCCGCAGGTCGCGTACTCTCGGATCTTCCGCCATACCCATGGCATTACGAGCGCGCATACTGGGCGGAGACGCGGGTAATGCACAATTGGCGGTTCCGCCGACATGCGCCGCATGATCTTCTGGGCTCTCGCACTCTAGACTCGTCTGACATCTCTCCAACGTGGCGCAATGAGATCCGCGTTCGCGATGTTCCTTGGCTCAAGGACCATTGTGTGGGAAATGACATTGTCTTCCCAGGCGCAGGATATATTGCCATGGCCGGTGCAGCTGCTTGCCAGCTGGGTGAGCTGAATAGTCTAAGCGACTATACGGTTAAAGAGGTTGAGCTCCGTCAGGCGTTGGTTCTTCAGGTGGAGGACTCGAAGGAGATGGTCACAACCCTCCGCCCACAGAGGCTGACGGCTAGTCTCGACAGCGACTGGTACGAGTTCTCGATAGTCTCTCATGACGGATCGGCATGGAGCAAGCACTGCTCAGGTCTCGTGCGTCGTGGGCGTGCGTCAAAGTCTCCACCAGCCTCTATGAAGAGAGTGCCGGTGCCTCTCCCGAGAAAAGTGTCAGCCAGTCGCTGGTATACAACATTGAACCGCGTCGGGCTCAATTATGGTCCGCGCTTCATGGGATTGAAAAATATCACTGCCGGAGTGACAGAAAGAAGCGCGGTATTGGACATCGCAGACGCCCCAGGTGACGGGTCCGAGTCCTCGTACCCGCTGCACCCAACCACGCTGGATATCATGCTCCAATCATGGACCGTGGCCGCGTTCAAGGGCATATATAGCTCTTTCAGCAAATCATTCCTGCCCACATTCATCAAAGAGCTGTACGTTGGTGTTGGAGCCGGACAGGAAATCCATGTCAAGACCACTACGTCTAGCCACAGTGCAGCGGCCGGTCGGGAAGGAGTTGAAGGGCAATCCTATGCAGTTACAAACGATGGTGAGAATGTGCTTGTTCTCAAGGGCTTCCGGGGCACTCCGCTTCCTTCTGAAGAGGATGGTCCCGAACTCACGGCCCTCCAACTTGACTGGAAGCCGGATGTATCCTTCCTCGACGTAGCCAAGCTCACGCGGCCGATTTACGACTTCCGAGAGCAGACAGCGCTGGTGGAAAAGCTTTATGTTCTCTGCGCGTTGGAGTCCAATCCAAGCCTTGAGGGAGTAGAAGCCACGCAGCCGCATTTCGAGAAGTACCGAAAGTGGATGAAATCTCAGATCTCCCGCTTTAGGGAACCGGGATACCCACTGGTCGACACCGTGGAATTAGTACATATGACATCAAACGAGCGCCAAAGGCTCATTCCCCAGCTTTTAGAGGAGTGTAAGACTGCTGGTGTAGGAGCCATGGCCGAATCTGTTTGGCGCACATACGACCAGCTGGTCAATGTGTTCGAGGGGAAGACCGATTTCCTGGATCTACTAATCCACGATGGTACACTCGCAGGCATATACGATTGGATGAACAATGTCTGGGACGTAAGCGAGTTCTTCCAGCTGCTGGGTCATGCGCATCCGCAACTCCGGATCCTGGAGATCGGGGCCGGCACCGGGGGTCTTACGTCGAAGATCCTTCAAGCGCTTCAATCCGAGTTTGGCGAGAGACTGTACTTCCAGTACACTTTTACCGACATATCCTCGGGTTTCTTCGTGGCTGCACAAGAGCGTTTCAAAGAGTACTCCGGAATGGAATACAAGGTGCTTGATATCTCAAAGGACCCAGTTGCTCAAGGGTTCAAGGCGGGAGATTATGACCTTATCATTGCCTCAAATGTACGTTTTACCCCGTACCCATTTCTGCCTGGAGGAAGCGACTTACTGATACTCCGGTAGGTTCTTCACGCGACGCCTATCTTGCATGAGACGTTATGCAATGTACGAACGCTCTTGGCTGACCAGGGTCGGTTGTTCCTACAAGAGCTTTCTCCAGGTTTGACCACTCATTCCGTGCTATTAGACAGGGCAAAACGCTGACAGAGTTGGTAGTGACCAGTAGTATGGTTTACATTATGGGCCTGTTTGTGGGCTGGTGGCTAGGTGAGGCAGACGGCCGCGTGGAGGCTCCATATTTGCCAACCGAAGTATGGGACGAGAAGCTCCGCGCCGCAGGTTTCAGTGGATGCGAAGCAGTGACTTTGGACAATGAGCGTCCGTTCCATGTCAACGCAAATATCATCTCAAGACCGGCGATCGACCTGGCGTACATGGGAGACATTACCCTGCTATCGGGCTCATCCAGGATCCATCCTCTGGCCTTGCAGGTTGAGGGACTTTTGAAAGAGCAAGGTCATTGCGTGAAACATCACCAATGGGGCATTGGGGATGCGCCGCCACCTAATCAAGACATGATTTCGTTTATCGATCTTGACGGGATACTACTTAACAAGCCAAGAGGGGAAGACTGGGACCGCTTCATCAAGGCCATCGAAACACTCCAGCAGGCTGCAGTTGTATGGCTCACAAACCCTGCTCAAGTCAATTCGAAGGATCCGCATGCGGCCCTGATCTTGGGAATGGCAAGGACTATCCGATCAGAACTTGCCATGCCCCTGGCGACGCTAGAGCTGGAAGATTGGAACCTGTCGGGGGCGGCTAAGGCAGTCGTGGATGTCATGAAGAAGGTCCAACGGGGTAAGGACGACATGACAAGTACACTCGATCCGGACCTTGAGTATGCCTGGGTGGATGGAGAAATCCACGTTGGACGTTTCCACTGGTACACAGTGCCAAATGCTCTGCGGAAGGCCGCTCCTTTGGAGCCAGACACCAAGGCGCTCCTCATCCAGAAGCGTGGACTACTGCAATCATTGCATTGGTCTGGCCAGCCTCTTCCGGCCCTCGCGGACGACGAAGTACAGGTCCAGGTCAAGGCTGTAGGTCTCAACTTCACTGATGTGCTCATTGCTATGGGTCTGGTGCATGGCGCCGATGCTCTCGGGAACGGTTTCGACACATTCGGCCTGGAGGGTGCTGGGTATGTAAGCAAAATTGGAGCGGACATCGACCATGTCCGACCTGGGGATCGCGTCATGGTTCTGGGAACCAGCTCCACCGGCTTAGCGACCCAGGTCCAGCGGCCCGGGAAATTTACCCTGCGCATCCCTAACAGTCTCAGTTTCGAGGACGCCGCTACAATGCCATCAGTGTATGTGACGGTTCTCCTGGGTCTAGTGGACAAAGCCCAGCTGGAGAAGGGTCAGTCAATCCTGATACATGCTGCGGCCGGGGGTATAGGTATTGCAGCTATTTATGTCTCGCGCTGGATTGGCGCGGAAGTCTATTGCACTGTGGGATCTGAGGAAAAGGCACAGTTCCTCATGCGCGAATTTGGGATCCAGCGTGAACGTATTTTCCACTCACGAGACACCAGCTTCTACGACGACCTTATGGTTGCCACAGACGGTGTCGGCGTTGACTGCGTGCTGAACTCTGTGTCGGGTGAATTGTTGCATACGACTTGGGAGTGCGTTGCCGCGAACGGATGTATGGTTGAGATTGGGAAACGCGATATGATCGGTCACGCCCAACTTGCCCTGGACAAATTTGAGGATAACAGGACATTCTTTGGGATTGATGTCTCCCGGCATGTTGGGCTTCGAAGGGCTACGGGTGGCCGACTGATGCAACTGATGCTCGACCTATATTCGAAAGGACATATTAAACCAATCCATCCAACAACCATCTTCGACGCCACAGAAGTTGAGGACGCCTTCAGGTGCATGCAGCAGGGCACGCATGTGGGAAAGATTGTGGTCAAGTTCCCCGGGGATGAAGGACAGCTCCCATGGGCTCCAGCCATTCCCACCCCGACATTCCGCGGCGACCGATCGTATCTGCTCGTTGGCGGAATGGGGGGACTTGGGCGAGCGATTGCCACGTGGATGGCCGCATATGGGGCGAAGAACATCATATTCCTCTCTAGATCTGCTGGGAAGGGAGGAGATGATCCAGCCTTCATCGAAGAATCGCGATTGATGGGATGTGAGGTGCAAGCATTTGCCGGCGACGTGGCTGATGACAAGTTGGTCAATGAAGTAGTAGCAACAGCCACCGCGCCCATTGCCGGTGTAATGCAGATGGCCATGATCCTCCGCGATATTGGCGTTCTCGACATGGACTTGGAAACGTACCAAGCGGTGATCGGACCAAGGGTGCAAGGCACGTGGAATCTGCATAATGCGTTGGCAGACCAGCATCTCGACTTCTTTGTTTTGTTCTCTTCAATTTGTGGGATAGTTGGATATTACGGCCAGGCAAACTACGCCGCGTCCAACTCTTTCATGGATGCCTTCGTGCAGTATCGTCATGATCGTGGTTTGGCAGCCTCGGTGCTGGATATAGGAGCAGTAGACGATGTGGGATTCATTAGCCGTACTCCGGCAGCCAAGGACACGATGCTCGCCATGTCTGGCCGACTCATCTCAGAAACCGACTTTCTGGAGGCGTTGCATCTCACCATTGCTCGGTCGGCTATGGCTCCTGCTGCAAAGAAGGAGTTTATAGGCACAAATGGCATCCATTATCATAACCCAAGCCATATAACTCAGGCCCTCGAGTGTCGGCTGCCTATCATGGACCCACAGAACAATATCATCTGGAAACGAGATCCCCGGATGGCAATATACCGGAACATTGAGACCGTCGCGATAGATAGTACGGCAGCTACAAGCGGCATGGCCCCGTTCCTAGCGGCAGTGTCTGAGAGCCCACGCCAACTGGAGGAGCCAGACGCAATCCAGTTCCTTGCTGGCCAGATCCGAGATCGAGTAGCGAAATTTCTGATGCGCAGGGACGACGAAGAGCCGTTGGATACAGGTCTGACGCTGTCAGCGGCCGGCGTAGACTCGTTAGTGGCCATTGAGCTGAGAAACTGGTGGAAACAGAATCTAGGGGTCGATGTGTCGGTGTTGGAGCTCATGAATGGAGGGAGCATACAGCGAATTGGAGAAATGGCGGCCAAGCGGCTTCACGAACGATTCACGAAGTAGGCGTATCGGCTGTAGATTGGCCCTGGCTTTAGACTAGATCAGATAGGTGCAATGAATGTCCAGAGAACTATAAGTTAGTTCGCCTTCCCATAAAATCAAAGGGGAATCCAAGTTTCTTTTCAACTCGATTTATGTCGTTTTCAGATCAAACATGAAAGATGTCTCGATTTGCCCCGTTCACTCGCGTCGACTTGCCATACCGTATCATAAACGGAGTTCCGCTTGAGGCCACTGTTTTGGTCCCAAAGAGCATATTGCGTTCGCCTGGGGCTCAAGACAAAAGATACCCAGTCATGGTCCGCTGGCATGGCGGCGGCTTCGTCGTCGGGCATCGAATGTATGAGCCCTGGTTCGCACAGTGGTTGCTGGACCTTGCTCTTGATCGCGAAGCAATTATCGTCACACCGGACTATCGACTTCTGCCCGAATCAAACGGGGCTGACATACTGAGCGACGTAGCGCACTTTTGGGAATGGATGAAAATGCTGCCGCAGTACATGAAACAAAGAGCCCTCCCACGACCAGATATCAGCGATATTTTATGCTGTGGCGAAAGTTCGGGTGGGTTTATCTCAGTTTACTGTGCACTCCATTCGAATACCATGCTGTCTCCGCAGGGCACACTCCCGGACACGGACGAGAGACAAGAGCTTGAAGAAGAAGTGAAAATCAGGGCAGTGATATCGATCTCCGCTCCCCTAGACGCCACGGCTCCGGAGTACAAGGTACCGCGACCGCGGGTCTTCATGGGTCGAAGCCCTCCGCCGCCTAGAGAGGCATTGGGGAAAATCCGGGCTTATATCAAAGGTATTCCTCGCGGCAGCATTCGAACAGGGTGCGAGCCCACTTCGGATATGTGGGAGTTGTTATTGTGCATTGCTCAACAGGCATTTTTGCCTCGCTTGTTTGGGATGCGCTCTAGTGAAGGTAAGCCAGTCATCGAGGGCATGATGGACTTGCTAGACAAAGGGGGTCACCCGATGGCGCCTGTCTGGATTGTACACGGAACGAATGACACTATGGTATGTTTCCCAGGCTTCCTGTCTTTCCAGCCCAGGGAAAAAGCTAATTAGTGCCGCTGCGGCATTGTGTCTTGCAGTGCCCGTTCATTTGCTCCTCCGGATTTGCTGCTCGCCTTCGCGCAACTCAACCGGATGTGCCAGTGCATCTAAGCCCCTGCCCAGGGGAGCATCTTTTCGACATCAACACCCGAAGAGACGCGGATTGGGTTCGCGAAGGCACGCGATTCCTCGACGAGCATTGGCCACGTGGAGAAGAAGGTCAAGACATATTCATTGATGAATCGCAACCCATCGGAGAATAATAATATAAAGAGAGTGTGCGGATGAAGACAAACGAGCAAACGATGGGGTCCAGGCCGAGGTCACGTGGCCGCTTGCCAGGTCTGGCTCTAACACGTCTTCCCCCTTTCGGTTAGTCCCGCCCACAGAGATCATCATCTCCGAATAGCTTCATCCTAGCTAGACCAGTCATCCATTCGGTTATTCATGGCATTTCATCTCGCCCTTCACATATTCAGTAGAAGCCCGCGGTCCACATGAGAGACTTAGGGATAAAGATCAGGTTCATTAGGATATGCAGCCCACGCTCATCTTGTAGGCATTGTTTGCGTGAAGACCGGCCAGCTCAAGAAGTACATTGCAAAGACCGCGATGATGAAGCCACAGCACAGGGAGGGTGCCCAGCCCATACAAGCAATCTCGGTGCGCGGTAGATTGTTTTCTTTGAAACAGTCGGTGTACCCGACGTCTTCATGCATGCTCTTCTCCGTCGATTCGTCTCAACCATCAGCATCACAGACCGATAGAGCTCTTCGTCGAGAACATCCTTGTTTGCCAGACAAGTGACTACCTTTTCGGCATCCTGGACTTTGCCCTTGCGAACGCGCCACCAGGGGGACAAGAATCAATCTATACTGATTGTCTAGTCTATCCAAATCCTCTGCTGAAGGACCGCACCTCTCCATCACTACCGACGAATGCCGTCTCCGGGGGCGCCCCGAGAAAGGTTGGAATCCCTGGGGCGTCCAAGCTACGCCACGCACGACTTCCAGCTATCCCCTTGAGGTGCTCGGAAACCGTGGGATCAATCAGGATTTTATTGTTCAGTAGTGCACAGTCTTGGCTGATCCTGACATTCGCGCCGCTGGGTACGATCTGTGCAACATCGACGGCGGCTGGAATCAAGACAACACCGACGAGTACGGCCGCGTGGTCTACAACCCAGAACTGTTCGATTCGATATCCCTGCCCTCACCGAGTACCTTCACAGTATCAGACTTAGGCTGGGTCTCTATAACAGCCTGGTGTCCGCTGCGATGCGCGCAACAAGACTATCATGGGCACCAATATTACCATCGGATGGACGTTTATCGATGTGGTGGATACAAACAACAACTGCTACTTTGACACAACAACCCAAACACCCAGCTCTGGCACGATGAGTTGATCAAACTCTGGGCATCCTGGGGTGTCGACATGATCAAGCTCGATTATGTGACGCCTGGATCCAACACCGAGGGCAACGGCATGCCCGGTAACCTCAGCGGGACCGCCATCGCATATCACCGCGCCATCGAGAGCAGCGGCCGACAGATCCGTCTCGACCTTTCCTCTGATGTTTGTCGCAGCGAGCCATACTGGAGCATCTGGTCGGACAATGCGGACAGCATCCGCGTCGACACCGACATCAACAGCTACGGTAACAAGTATGTGTTTGTCGACATGTATAAGGTGCAGCGGACCATCGAGAAGTACCGCCAGTTCGTCAACCTCCAACTTCTCGAAGGCGGACCCGTCAGGCTGCGAGCGAACCTGGACCAGCTGTTCGTCGGAAGCCCAAGCAACGTGACCGGCGTGACAGACGGACAGCGCATCACCCTCATGAGCCACTGGATCGGCTCATCCTCCAACCTCCTCTTAGGCTCCGACATGAAGAACCTCGACAAGCTCGGCAGACACCTGACTACTTCCCAGGCGTCCATTGACGCCTCAGAGTTCTGTAGCCAGTACCCGATGCAGCTACGGAACCCAGGCACCGGAAGTAACCAAGCAATGCAGCTGCAAGCCTGGATCTCTGGACCCGACGATGAGGGCCAGGTCTATGCTCTGTTGACAAACCTGGATCTCAATCTGGTTGAGGGTGGCTATGCTACGATTGGAACTGGGCCGCAGCTTGTGTCAAATCACCCTTGCTGATCTGGGCCTGACGCGGACGCGGTACAGAGCAACGGATGTTTGGTCTGGAAATGTAACCACTGTCAAGGCAGGAGGGAGCCTGTCGGCGGTTCTTGGAGAGGGAGAGTCTCGGTATTTGCGATTGACCCGTCGCTAAGTGATGACTCCTGCCAGTTGTGACGGGCGCTGGAGACCGTGCACATTGCAGAGGATCAGGCCACTACCCAGGGTATTATTCCATAGGCCGCAGGAAAGCATTCGGCGTATATCAAGCCTGGGATAAACTTTGACAGTGCGACCACGATGATGAATCCGATCAGAATAATGAGGTAGCATGTGGTTGTGAATTACTGCCCTCTACCTGGTTTATCTGCATAGCATCAATACAAGAGACACTATTCCAAGGTTGCCTAAGCACTTAAGTGTACCCGACACTCCTGGAAGAACAGCACCAAACTCAGTAGGCCAGCTTCTCAAGGGTTAGCTGCTGCTTTGAAGAGGGTGTTGCGAACGTGCTGCGGTTACTATTGGCGAACTCCATCCTTGCCCTAACTTCCGAGCTCCCTATCCATAAAATCAACCAGGGAACCACTAACATCTCAGCAGCTCTACGCTATTAATAGCAGAAACTTGCAGCAGTTTCCAGTTATTATTTTGAACGCAATTGATGCTTCATGCGGTATGTTCAAGGCATAAATGTTCGCTTTGACATTGTGGGTCAGAGACCAAAACATGCTGGCCGCATATTGCACAGTGCACAATACCTAGCAATCCCCGGGGCGTTAAATACTACTACTACTACTACTACTACTACTACTACTACTACTACTGCTGCTGCTGCTGCTGCTGCTGCTGCTACAATGCACAATATGCCTATGACGGCGGATATGGAAGTTTAATTTTATGCATGGTTGTATTAATTTTTATGTATAATTTATGCTGATTAAAATGTACCATGTTGCCCTTGTAGCTCAGTGGTATGAGCGCGCCACTCGTAGGATTTGTTGCTTATCAATCAGTATACAGCCATGGTGAGGTCCTCGGTTCAATCCCGAGCAGGGGCATTTTTCTTTTTTTCTTATAAAACGCCACTGATTAACCTTATTTGAGCGTTACCGAACACGCTTTAAGTAGACAGGTGCCCTATAGCTAGCCTAGGTCCCCTAGGGCAGTACCTAAGCCATGCCCATGGTCTTCTAGGAGGGTCTACAGGTATAAACAATGGGTAAAATCAACTTTTTAAGTCTTAATCAGTCGTTGTAGATTTCGCACTGCCACTAGAGAAATATGGGTGGTTTAAAGCCTAGGGTAACCCAGCAGTATCAGCTTCAAGCCACAATAATCGATAATCAATGACTAGGAACTCACCTCTACAGCGGAGAGACGATGGCCACTCTCGTACCGCACCAATTTGCTTACAAGGTCACGCCCGTTTGAAGATGCGCCCTTCAAAACCTCATCCCACGGTTGAGCCGGGTACTTGTAGAACTCGATCTTGCCCCAGTCTGGGAGCTTCGCGGTTTCCTGGGCGGGCTTGTCAATATGAACTAATACACTGGAAGAAGAACTTACCGGCCAGCTCTGCTCATCCGGTGTGCCCAGTGTCGTAAAGATAGACTGAATCAAGGAAAGATCGCTCCCGACAGGCCCTGCGTCAAAAAGCGGTTTATGGCCCACGGCCACTGCCTCTGCGACGACGCACCCCGCAGCCCAAAGGTCCAGAGCCGGTCCGTATCCCTTGTACCCGAACAGTACCTCTGGCGGCCGATAGCATGTCGTCCCGACGTCGGTGATCTTCTTGTCGGCGGGTTCGGCCTCAATGCTCCCTTCTCGCCAAGCGATCCCGAAATCAGCCAGATACGCTGGTCCGCTCGGAGAGTCCACTAGGATGTTCGAGGGCTTGATGTCGCGATGGATTATCCCTGTTTCGTGGCACGCGGCTATCGCGCTGAACATGTCGCGTAGGATAGTTTTTGTCTGCGCGGCTGTCAACGTGCCTCGGCGGAGGAGGGTCTCGAAATCATGCCTCTTGTACGGAAACACGAGGATGAATCGGCCGCCGTCAAGCTTGAATGTCTCTAGCAGGGGAATGATGTGCTCGCTAGCTGCTTCGCGTAGCAGTTGGGCCTCGCGCTGGGCATCGTGTGGCGGTTCCAGGAGGTGCGGGGTTGTGATTTTCAGCGCAACGAGGGCGCCGCTCTGGGATTTGGATCTGTAGATGGTGGAGTGCAGGCCGTCGAAGATGTGGGTGCTGTCTGTATAATGGCCGATCTTTGTGCCGGTTTCCTGGCTGGATGCGTTTGTGTCATCTAGCTCTGCATCTGCTGCTTCCGAGACCGTGGCCTCTGCGGCGTCAAGTGCCGCTTGATAGATTCGGTCATACTCCTCCTGCGCGAGTTAGAGCCTTTCTAAATTTCGGGTTTCAAAATACTGACTTTTGATGTGGCTTGTTCATATGCCTCGCTCTCGAGCTTTCGAGCTTGTGTTTGTGCTTCGGCGAAGGCTGCGGAAGAGGATGCTTGCTGGTATGCAGTGGTCCTGGTGACGCTTATTAGGTTGATGCATCTATCTCCCGCGCAGCACTTACAGAGATTGGATTGTTCTCAAGCGGTCTGTAAAACCAAGGGTCTTTTTCCACTCCATGGTTGAGTTAAGATGATAGCGGGACCAACGCCAACAAAAGAGAAGATCCGATTCGCAGATCACCTGACGCTCCCCACCAACTATATAGAGTACGAGAACCAACAGTTCATTGAGATTTGATATGATCTATATATACACACCCTCTGGCCTGCATATAAAGAAGATCCTTAGTATAAAGTAGTTACTATAAGTCGGCCATGGTCCAAAGCCTACAAATATGTAAAGTAACTAAAACAAGGATATAGTTTTTAATACCTCTTTGTACTATACAGTAGTATATAAAATACTATAAACCATGGCCGTAAGTGGTTCGACATGAGGCTTAATTGATTTCCCAGCAGCCTTGGTTCTTGTCTGATCTCACAAAGGCTGTTTCTCCGTGTGTCATGTTCGTGGCAAAACGGAAGTCGATGCGATAAACGTCAATGCAGCCCTGGTGATCTCGTTGAACACACCAGACGGAGGGCCGAGTCAGGGAATTTGTGTGCCGGAGGCAAATCGTGGACCACGGTCCAAATGCACTAAGGTCAAAGTCTGGAAGATACAGCAACCCCACGGTCGTGGCGGGTTAGCGCTTCTTTGTTCTTGTGATGCTTGTAAAGCATTACGAACTTTGAAAACGGGGACTCGGTGGCCAGGACATGACGCCATATGTAGTAATGTAGAGAGCGGTCGTCTGCTTTAGCCCGTTCGTGGCCAGAAATGCGGATATTTGTAACGACGGCATGTTCAATGTACAGCCAGAATTCATGGTCAGACAAGGCAATGATATGCATGTATATAACGGGATCGCTGGACGTAGCAGGGTCAGGGTAATCATTGGCCAGGCATTTCAGGCTGTACGAGATCAGATCAGGTTAATTTGGAATGACGGCAGGGGTCTCAGCAGGCTGTAGACTTACTTCTCCAGGTTGAAGCTTTTACTCTGGCACATTTGTGCCACAGAGGGGCTCAGCCCCCCACCCGCCAAGATCCTCTTGATTTCCTCTACGCCAAGTTCATCCCGCAGTTCCCTGAAGGACTTGACCTTCTTTGCGGCTGTCGATATTATGTCCAGTAGCTTGATGTGGTCAATTGGGGCCCGCTGCGGGAGGCTCTCAGGCATCCCAGCCAGAGTGTCATCGAAACGTGCCAGGATGGTTTCGCTTCCAACTCGAAAATGTAGCGAATATATTGCCAGTACCTGGCTTGAGCATCAGCAGCGGTCTACTTGTGGTATTCAAGATACCACAGCACGGCGGTCTCAATATCCCAGGACGTTTTGAGATATCGTGGCCCCCCGGAGCAGAGGTCGGTAAAGGCATCGTAGCCTTTAAATAGCCTATTGATTATTTCGGCCCTCGAAAGTCCCTGAAGGCTCTGTGGGGACTTGGGGTTCGATGAAAAGTATGCAATTGTCCATTGCCATACTTCATTTGTCGACTTTGCGGCTATTCCAGACTGTAGGTAATGGAGTGCGGGTCGTGCAAGTTCAAGGTCCCAGGTCGGATAGTGGCCAGTCAAACGCAACTTGAGCTGCTGGCTGCTTGGGGGGTCATTGGCTTGAATTAGCCAGTGGTTCGGTGTCTCTAGAATCCGTCGTAAAGCCATTTTGGTCTGGCTTGATGAATTGGCTTTGCGATTTGATGCTTCCATTGAGAAGGATGGACTTTGTAGAGCATCCCCGTCTGGATTGCGGAGTCCTGGCCTTGGTCACGGGAGACCTCCTCTACAATTCAGCTGCTTATTATAGCTACCATTACAGCTTGTTTAACTGCGTAGAGCCTAAGCATTGTTGGCGTTATTATAGGCCTTTAGGGCTTATGTACAAAGTATTTATACGCAATTGGGTGCTCCTTCTTAGAATAGACCGACTGTAAAACTTTCTAGTACTATACACTATGGAAGGCACAACCGAAGGCAGCACCTCCGCAGCGGGGAGGCATCATGTCGGCCGGATCAATCAAGACTTTATCGCTCATTATGAAACATCTAGAGAACAGATCAATTGCCTGAGCAAGCCGTCCCAGTACCTTTCAGCTGTGGTTATGTGTCAGTATGCTCCACCTAGTGCAAGCTTCAACTAGGCCTGTAATTGAGTATAGCACTGGGAGACCAGATGATGATTTGGGATGAGCACCGAATAGACTTGACTTTATCTATAGCTTAGTAGCAAGCAGTTAAAGATATAAAAGTATAGCCTTGTAAGATCGAATAATAATCTGGGATGAATGACTTTGTCTAAGCACAGTGGCAAGCACTTATTACTAGAGGCACTTCTGATCTGCGATCAAATATAGCGCTGTAAGAGCAGATGTTTATCTGGAATGAATGGCCTTAATTAAGCATAGATCCATGCATACGGAGGATCAGAGGTGGGGCCTTGGGGCTTAGTATGTAGCTTAGCTGCGTAACATTGCCAAAGATTGTGATGTTATTACATACCCAAACATAACTTGGTAGAGTTGATTTAATACGTCCTTTGTATGGAAGGAGAGCATATCGAGTCTGTCATGCTCACAGCCTCACTCGGCAGACAAGGTCCGGGCCGTACCGAAATGGTTAAAATCAATAGCGTTTATCTAGGTTATTGAAGCAGTTTTGACTCGAAAGAGCCTCCTGATTACAAGCCAGGCGCTTCTACCAATAAGGACACTTGACATAAATTCTGCGAGAAGAAAAAGAATATACTTAAACTGATAACTTGGAGCAAAAAATGCCCCCTCTCGGGATTGAACCGAGGACCTTTGCATAACTCTGTAACTTTCAAATCATTCGAAAATACAAGTGCAACGCTACTACCACTGAGCTAAAAGGGCGCTATTATGCAGCCAAAATTATGCTTTAATATAAAAAAGAATGCAGAAATTCTTTATTCGGAAGGTATGCAAAGTGGGATCCGTCCATTTGGCTCCGTGCTTGTACATCTGGCCTACATAAATACAATTGAGACTGAAGGCTATGGTAAAGAGCTGCTACATATTGGTAGTTGTAAATGCACGGATAATAATCAGCACAACAATACACAACTAAACCCCTTATTCACCTTCCATATTCCACCCACCTTTATATATCTCGCCATGGGCCATAGCCCATCCACGGCGGGGCTATTTTAAGAGAATAATATTGCCCTGCTCAACATATCAAGCTGCCTGGATGGACACGCCTTGCTATTCCCAGAGCGGGTAGTCTAGAACAACAAGGACCTCGCTTCTTGTATAGCCAAATAAATAGACCATCACAATACAAAGAAAGTACCGCAAAGACGGCCGTACCAGAAATCCGATCTTGATCTTGGGTTGGTGATAAAAAATAAGTACAAATCAAGCGAGCTCAAACATAACCGAACCACCCAGTACCAAGGAAATATATACACAATACATAGCCAATAACAAGTCGACTAGACTAGAAGCCAAAGCTATCAAGCAGCGAGTTTGCATCAGGCTCATGGAACATCGTAGGCGGCGGTTGCTGCTTCTTCGGCGCAACCGGTGACGGTGGCTTAGCCGGCATATCCGCCACAACAAGACTGCTTCGCCGGCGGAGCATCTTCCGATAATCAATGGCGCCGTCGACGAGATTGATTGTACCGTCCTTGGTCAGCTGTGTAGGCGGCGGCTCCTTTAAGAACTCCCAGTGGCGGACGAGGTCGAGGGCGAGCAGGTCACAGCCCATACGATCATAAAGACGTGCGTTTCGAAGGACAAAGTCCCATTCAGCTTGGGCAGATACTTTCGAGGCGCCTTTTAGGGTTTGAAGGGTCTTTTCGCGGAGTTGTTTGTAGAGGACTACCAGTGCTGGGTCGTTGGATAGGTAGGATTTGGCTTGCAGGGGAATTGAACCGGGGGTCTCGGGGGACGTCGGATCTGAGGGGATAAGGGACTCAACGGGGGACTGGAACATGTCAGCAAAGTCTATAAGTGGCAATCATGCTACTCACAATAAGTGACCGCACGGCCATATCACGACGGCCGAGCATCCAGAACGCCCAGGAAGCCATCCAGCGGTTCCCGTCAACGGCAGCTTCAGGCAGTACTCTCGTCTCCAGTATCTCCTTTAGCACCGGGCCATCATCTCCCTCATAGGCACGGGCAATAGCAATTGCAAGCTGAAGATCGCCAACTTGGTTAAGGCAGACCTGAACAGCATCTCGCAAGTGGTCTGCCAGAAGGAAAAACGTCGCAGCATATTCTGTAGTTTGTAAGTAAAGAGTTCATTACTAGAAAGTAAAAGCCTACCAAATCTCCGCCTTCCAAGCAGCGCATATGCGTTCTTCAGAGCGGCAGTCTGCCATCGAGGTTCTCGAAAGTCGTTCGCCAGCAACTTTTGCGTCGCCGACTGCTCTCGGTTCCAGTGAGCCATCCTCCAGAGACCCTGAAGAATGTTCTTCTTCCTGAGCGCCAAGTAGTACAAAGAGCAGTCGATTGGATTCCTCTCTTCAGACTTGGTGTACTCGTTCCGAGCCACTACCTCCAGCTGTGCGCGCTGCGAATCGTTAGATCATACTTCCCATGAAGTGATTTACTTACAATCGCTGCAGGACTCGACAGCCACATGAACATCCCGCTCTCCCGGGCAGATTTCCATGACAGTTTGCCGCCGAACTGTCTTGAAACAAGGTCTATAAGTATGTCTTGGCTGCCACTGTGGAAAGCCCAAACAATCTCTCGCCAGGAAACCGTGTCGTTATTCGCAATCCCCTGGGTCCTGCGCAGCATATGCTGTCGGAAGAACAAAAGATAGCGCGCAGCATTGTCATCCATTGAACGCCGATGCTTCTCAACAGTGGCAACGCATTCAATCGTATCCACTAGCCGGACTTGTTCCTGGCTAGTCAGTTGCGGTAATGCAAGCCGCGCCAAGTTCTCGTTGAGAATGGCTGCAGTGGCCTCGTCCACGACTGTAGGCTCATCCTCTAGAGAAAGGTCTGCATATGACGAGTGCAGTTCTTTAGATACTGCTTTTTGTGGCGTCTTCTCATGTTAGCTCAGGGTGGATTTTGCCAGGTAGACTTCACTCACATCACGATCAAAATAATAATCTTCTAATGGCATCTCCAGGAAGCCGTCAATCTCGTCGCCCTCCGTGTAAAACTTCAATTTCCGATGAAGATTCATCAAAATCGAATGCACCAGGTTCGTTTTGCCGCTAAGTATACACTGGGCAAGGAACTGCGGGTGGAATGCAGGAAGCGCGCCATTGAGTCGGCTCACGACTTCAAAGAGATCTACAGTTGACGAGCCACGAGTAGGAATACGGAGCTGTGACACCAGCCGGTCTGCGACTTCAATCTCATTGTCGTATACAAAGAGCTGGTTACCCGCGCCGATAGCCAGGTGGCCGTTGCTCAGCCAGCAAGAGTCCCCAATAGGATGAGGGGTGAGGTCGCGAATCCAGATCTCGCGAATTTGCGTCCAGGACGGGCCAGAGTCGAGGTAGTCATAGCGTAGCTGCGTGAGGAGGATGACTTTGTGAGGGAATCCAACAGCGAGAACGGACTGCATGTCCGGTGTGGACGTCCAGTCCAAGTCGCGGATGATGTCTTGCTGGCCGAAGTGCTCCTCAAACTCGAGCTGCGCCCCCTTTGTATCCCAGATTGTTAGATGCGTTCGACCCTCATCAACGAGTGCGGCTTTTTTGATGGAACTTCCACTAGCGAGAGAGATATTCGTGATCCCCGTCTCAACCGTGGAGGTCAGTAGCCAGTCTAACCGGCCATTCCCCTTGTCCACTTTAGCGGTCCATGTGCGGACAATTCCAGTCGTCGTGTAAGACAGCGCTATGTCAGGTGAAAACATGTCAAAGAATCCCGACATCTGGGTCCGAGGGCCGGCAGGGTCCACAGGTAGGAAGTATGCGACGTCCTCTTTCAGACCTAGGTCAAAGGTACAGAATTTGTTCAGGTGGCAGTCGGACTTTGATTGCCCTTTTGCAACCGGAAGACTGACCTCCCAAGCAATTCCACTCATATCCGCCGCAATTGCCGCGATGTATACAACACCAGCATTCTTCTCGGGGGTAAGCATCTCCAGAACGCAAAGTGGCTTACTTGAGAGCTCGAACTCCGAGGACGCGATTTTCTTGGCATGGAACGAGCGGACATCCCAGATAGAGATCCCCTTATGGTGTAGATTCACGACAAAGCCACCATTCTCGACCACGCAGCTGCGATGGATATGCTCTTGGGAGAACAACGTGCTCTTCCGGACAAGCCCTGAACCGCTGTTCCTCCGCTTCTGTCTCCATATCAAGGCTTTGTTATCGTCGGTACGTGATGTGAGAGTATCACCAAACGCATTTCGGACAATCTTCTTGACGGGACCAATGTGCCCAGTCCAAGACGCCTTACGGGCAATCCGATTCTTGACCGGAGCCGGGTCGAACATGACATCGACCTGCGAGTCAAACCATTCGATCCGGCCGTCGAAGTGATGGACCAAAATTGATAGCGTGTCTCCAGGGTCTGCACTTTGAAAAGCACAGATCTGTGCATAATCCTCGTTCGCAGTAAGCCCACGCAAGAATGAAAAGTCTAGACCCTCAACGTGGAGGATGTTGAAAACATTCATTTGAGTACCGGCCTTTGAGCCAACATCTTCCAGCGCCCAGGCAGCCATATGTCCCTCGCCGTCCATTACCACACAGATTTCCGGGCTCTTCGTCGCAACCTCAATGATGTGTTCCAGAGCATGGTTTCCTTGATTCCCCGTACCTCGCTCCACTGCCCGCTCGGTAGCGCTGCAAAAATCTCGGCTGTCAATAATGAATCCGTAGCGACGCGATACACTCGCTCCATTCGTCGCATGCCTCGGTTGGACAGACCGGTCCATGTCAATCTGCGTCCAGAGCTGTAGCGGAGACGGGGCATGGTTGTCAATCGCTGCCCAGACTCGGATCTTATTATCGGCACATAACGTGTAGAATACATTGGCCATCGATTGTTCTCCATGAAGCGGCCGGCGCCAGTGGAACCCCGTAATTATAGCAGGATGCGCCAGATATGACACGTCGAACCGCACGTCGTCGGCGCCGAACGACAATCGCCTCCATACCTTCACAAACCGATCATAAAGTCCGGTAGTAACGACAAGAGTGGAGTCGGGCGATATTTGCGCGAACTTGACCGGATTCGCCAGCTTCTGCCGCCATGCCGCCCGAGGTGTGTCGTTCAGAAACCAAAGTGTGAGATGCGAGTTGCCCAAGAGGAGCTCGTCGGACGAGCCCCACGATATCGTACGGATCGGCTCCTCATCGTCTTCGTAGCGGAGGGTATATGACAGCGACCACTACCAGAAATCAAATGTTAGCTATACGCTCGACCTTGGCCACTCTGTGCTCCAACTCTCTAGTGCGCGACAAACCTTCAGCGTTTCGCCGTAGGTCCCGTAAGGCTCGTAGACGAAAGCATGCGGGCCCCCGCAAGCAGCTATCCTCCCCGAAGCTTCGTCTATCGCGACAGCCTCTAGCGTAGGTGCATCGTCGACATAGATCGTTTGTAGGAGCTTGTGCGGGCCGCCGAGGATGACAAGTGCCTGACCGGAGATGTACACCTAGCGGAAACACGCGATTAGCTCAATGGTCACCAAGTTGCGCGGGACAATTGTGGTGAAATCATACAACAACTCGAAGGCCATTCCAGGACGCGGTGCCGAAAGACTGGAGCTTCGCTGGGGGTCTCCCCGGCAGTACTGCTCGCATAGGGGTGGTCGGTGGGGAGATCAGACGCTCGGTGCGCTCGAAACGGATATTACACCATTGCCAGTTGAGATCGTAGAAAGGTCGGAGAAGAAACGAAGATCCCGCGGGATACGGGCGATAGACTTAGCTGATTTGCAGAGAGTAAGGTTGGGGAGGTCAATGTTGTCTGGGGATGAGAATGATGACGCTGTGCGCCGCGGCAGCTCCTCCGCTTTCCGCGTGTGACCTCCACGTCTGCTCTAGCTCTATACAGCATTCATTATTGCTGCTGGACCCACCATGTGATAGAGTAGCTGACATATTATGTTCATTTTCAAGTAGATAATAATAGTACCTCAATATTAGTATAGTGGTAAGCCGCTTGGACCATGGGCAAAGCTCAATATACCGATAATGCGTATGAAAGTAAAAATATATATTTTGTCCGCATAGTTGGACCATAAAAACAATTGGAAATAGGCCTGTTTTTATATCCCAACATATCTAATGCACATAGATATAGTATTGAAGCAAAAATCTATTGAGTTGACATTATCCAACAGAGATACAGATTTCTACATAGTACAAATCGCTTGATCGTGCAAAAGGGTATCACAATCGCATCATTCAGCATGAACCAAACAGTCAATGACATATCATCAGAGTACTCCGTATACTATAGCACAAAACATCCCGAGTGTCAACCGCTTGTTCAGCAATTAGCTCAAGGTCGTCGATTGGCAGATCCTTTCCCGCTCGTGGGCGATTCCGGATCCTGGTCAACAAACCGAACAGTTCCTAAAGCGCTCGCACGTCCGGTGCGATCCCGCCGACTGGACGGACCTGTTGTAGGAACACCCACTCCCTCTCGCAGAAGCCTGCTAGCGAAAGGTGTATGGAGAGGTGTCGCAGGTGTTGTGGAGGCCCGCGCCAGTATTCGTGCTCGAGCTGCTCGCTTGGAAGGAGAAGTCACAGGATTCGGCGTGATCGGGGTGGCCGACAGGCGCTGGTTCTCAGCGGAGGTAAGATCGTTGAGTTTGAAAGGCGTCTCGACCTGCCAGGGGTCGAAAATGGACCGTCCTGTACCGCCGCCACTGACACGGCTTTGGTTTCTCGTAGGGCTCACCAAGGGCCCTGGAGCATCTCGGGCCTCGAAGCTGATCCTCGTCTTATCTACCCATCGGCGGAACATGCCCCTTGAGTGCTTTCTGAGATTGCGCTCTCTCATGGCCTCCGCAGTCTCAGCGCTGCTGTGTATTTGGAAGACGCGAAGACTGAGTTTGCGAAGCGAGGCGTTGGCTTGGCCCAGTACATGTTGTCGACGCGCCTTGACAGCCTGCTCCTCCAACTGGCGAGCCGCGACCACGCCTTCAGCCCACCGTATGAGTTTGTCATAGGCGATCTGCTTGAAGTAAAAGGTATCTGCATCTTCACAGTCTTGGAGACGCTTTGCGGTCTTTGCATGCCACCGGTCCACTAACTCAAAGACAATGTCCAGATTCTTTCCCCGTTCCAACTGCAAGGCTTGCTGCTCAATATCGAGAACATCGCGCGTCTTAGTTTGCCAAGTGGCAAAGAATTTCGACGCAAGGTTCACCTTGACACTTCGCCGAATCATCGCATAAGCTTCCTGGCGGCGGCGTTTGGCAGAGTCCACCTTTGCAACATGCCAGCGCTTGATAGTGCGAGTCGAGATGAAATAAAACCTGGCATCCCGCGCCCAATCCTCTAATTTCGCTACATGCTCTCGTTTCGAGCGCCAGGCCACGAGGGATTCCTGGACAAGGCGCGGTGCATAAAATTCATAAGCCATATCGTCGCGCTGTTGTTGGAGGACAAGCTGGTTCCGCCAGGTAGCAAGCTTCGATCGGAGCAGGTCGTCATTTCGCCGCTCCTCGTAGGTATCAGCATGGTGGAGCAGTTGCGTATATTTTTGACGGACATTTGTAACGAAAGTGGAAAACACCTCGCGCGAGATCCGTTGCTCACGAATTCGTTGCATAAGACGGTATCTTTCCGCGAGGATCCATTTGTACATAGTCTCGATCTTCATGCGCTCTTCGATTCGCGCGGTGAGAGCCTGGCAGCGGAGGTTGTCATTCCACGCAACCCATGAGTTCCGCATGATCCTCCGTCGGTCCATCTCTCTTGCTTGGTTGAGCATGTCTATCCGCTTTACCCATTGATTGTACGCAGACCGCACGATACGCGTATCGGCCGTATCTGCGACGTGCGTCGCGGCTGGTGCCAGGCGAGCTTGGAGTTTCCATTCATTCATAGCGTTTCGGAGAAGCTGATGCCGGTGCATAGCTACGGCCTTCTGCTCAGTGGAAACGATGGTTCTGGATTTCTCACGCAAGACCTGAATTGCAGAGTTCTGCAAAAAATGCCTATCCTGAATATCAATCTCATGAAGGCGTTCTCTGGTCGTTCGGAATGTTCGCAACCAGTAAAGCAGGGAACGTCTTTTAATAACAAAATCGTGCCATCTAGGAGCACGCCTGTCGCATAAGCTCCAGAACCATTGCCAGTAGAAGTCTCGTCTCAATTTTGCGTTATGATAGTTGACAGCTCGCCCCTCTAGCTCCTTAAAATGGTCGGTTCTTTTCTTCCAAGCCTGGAGAGGTCGCTGTAATGCGAATCGCTGAGCTTTGAGTACATTGACGGCAGTGATCTCACGCCATGCATTGAAATACTTGACGCCGAGGATGTGGCGTCGAGCCGCAGTAGTCTTTTCTAACTCATCCGAAGCGACTGCCGCCCAGTGAGTGAAGGCTTTGGTCATCAAGTACACGTCTCGAGCCCGAGCGGCGCGCTCTTCGAGATGGTGGAAGAACCGCTCGGTTCGAGCAGTTTGCCGCTTCTCTCGAATAATTGAGCTCCAGGTCCCAAAAGCTTGTCGGATTAGGGTAACTCTGTCCCTGTTTACGGCGACCATTTCCATGTTCCGATGTGCTTGCCGTGCCTGCACGGCTTTCTTCATCCATTGAGTCAAGATACGTCGGTTGATTGCGCGTTGTCGGTACATATTGAAGGTTGAAGCATCCCGTAACAGATCCGAAAGCGAAGGCCGGTAGAGTAGTTCCGGGGGTAGATCTGGCTTCTCAAAAGCAGCGTTCGCGCCGTCGGAGGCCGTCGACTCATCCCCACCATCACCCTCTTCAACTTCCTCGTCTGAGCTTGAAGAGCTAGCAGAGCGCACACTTTTGGACTTGCGTGTTTTGGCACGGGAGGCCTCAGCCATCCGTCTCGAACGGTCCTCATTCACGGCGGATGAGAATTCTTTTGTCTGTTCTCTCGCCGAGACTCTCGCCAACTGAAATTCGTCCATCTTACTAATAAGGCGCCGACCAACGTCCATAAACTGCGCGATCAGTTGCGTTCTGTCCGGTGACCCAGCCCTCTTGCTACCCGCTGTACGACTCGGTGGTGAGGCCTGAAACTCAGGCTTGCCAGTTTGAAGTCGCGACATCGAGGACCGAGAACTTGGGCGATTGATAAAGCTCCGAGTGGTAGGGTCATCTCCAATATCAAGAATCGAATTGAACGACGCGCGCCGTGGCCGCGGGGTCTGGATGACCTCGTGTGCAGCAGGGCTGGCCCTTGGCCTAGATTGAACATCAACAACAGAAAGTGTTTCCGTATAACCATCCGTCTCGTTTTCCTCATTGCCGAATTCAATCACGATGCCCATCTGTTGGAGTAGGTTCTCAAACTTCTCAAACAGAGTGTCTCCTGCGACGTATCCCATCTTGAACAGGAAGCGCATACAGGCGTAGCCCGGATCCGCCTCCGGCCCATGCTCCTCGATCGCCGCATCGTACTCTTTGAATAGGACTCTGAAGGGAAGGCGATCGGCATCTGGATGGCGCTCCGCGTGTGTGATGATTTGGAAGAGGAAGCCGACATCTGGTACACAAAAAGCTGGGCGTTAGTCTTCTGAGATGAGCACTAGTAATCGCATTACAGTCGCGCACCTTCGTCTGAAAGGGCCGGATCTTCATGGGATAGAGCTCTTCGTTGAGCGGGAACGGGAGGCATCGAAATATCCGCGACTTAACGCGTGTTCTTCGCAGCTGGGTCATGGAGACGGGAAACCAAATAAACCATTGCGAGCGCTAGAGAACGATAGAACGCAGAAGCTCGCCGTCCTCGAGTTTGCGACACCAAATAGCATCGAAGAGCCCAAAAAACAACGGCGTTGAGATGGGAATGCCGGGGCCAATTTCTGGCTAGTTGTCACCGACTGCAACGGGTGTTTTGCTTTGTCGCGCAATCCAAACATGCGAGGCTGTCACGTGCACGGAGCGCATACTGCTGCTTATGTAATGGCTGGTCATAACCAGCTCCGTATGTCACCGTCCAGCATCAACTGCAAGAACTGGAAAAAAATGCCACCAACGCGGACACGACCCATTGAGAAGTTTGCAAAGGCCACTTCGAAGTGCGCCACGGAGGTATGCCCGGTTTGTCCGGCCCTTCGGATGCGAGATCTGACAGTGGTTGTAGGCAGCGGCATATGGCAAGTGCATTGTCGCGGACTACCAAGGAGTGCACAAGGACATGTGCGCAAAAGAGTTTATGAAACTCAAAGACTGCTTTTTGGTATAGTAGTTGGATGCTCCTGTGCTCCTAATAAATGGCTGACGGCTCAAAAGGCGGCATCTAAGAAACCATGAACGAGGGGGATTTACTAGAAAATCATGTGTATATTTTGGCGCAAGCGGATGCTTTACTCAAACCTACAATGCCACTGGCGCTTTGTTTAGGAAAAATAATAGGAAGTTATGGATGTACATAAATTCATAGGAAAATGCTATTTTGAGAACATCAAGATCTCTACCAATGGTTATCTGAGTCTAAAAAAGATCTTTGCCGCATATTCGTCTACAGCTTCAGCAGCCGCAATAAGAAAGTGGCGTTTTGCACTTCCTGCTCTTCTTGCATGATCATACCCTCTTCGTCTGCGCTGGGCGCCTTGCCATCAGCGGATTCACGCTTCTCTAGAGGCCGACGCACGGCCTTCTCAATGACCGATGCCTGGGTCTCGAAGGCATCCTGGATGCCGATGCTGTCCGGGTCAGAGAGAACCACGTATTCCATCTTGACGTCGTCGGTAGGAACTAGGCCGGCCTTCTTACGGAGACGCTGAAGTCGGTTGACGATCTCTCGGCCAAGACCCTGGTGAGCCAGTTCCGGGTACAGCTTAGCATCAAGGATGGTCAGAACATCGCCATCAGCGGCGGGCTCCTTGTCCCCAGATGAGGCATCCTGCTTGAGGCCTCGCTTGACCACAAGGTCTCCTTCAACGAGCTCAATGCCGTCGACAAGGATCTTCTTGTCGGCAACGAACTGCTTTACATCGTCACTGGTCAATGATGGCAGAGCCTTCTTGACCTTCTGTACGTCCTTCTTCAACTTCTTGCCCAGAGTGGGCCAGTCAGCAGTCACGCTGTACTGGACGTTGTACTTGGCTTCGTCGGTAGACAGAATGAGCTCCTGGATGTTGATCTCTTCGAGAATGTAGCCCTCCAGGGACTTTACATCGTCGAGGTACTGCTGGTCCTGGTGGATCACGACCAAGGATTTCAAAGGAGTCTTCAGACCGAGAGACCGACGCTCACGGGAAACGCGAGCCATTTCAATGACCTTCTGCATCCGTGCCACTCTCCTCTCAACAACCTCATCGAAGAGTTCCTCACGAACCTCGGGGAAGGGAAGGAAGTGGACGCTCCGACTGTCATCGCCACGAATGGCCTCAGGGATGTGAGGAAGCAGGCGTCCGTAGATGTTATCGGTGAGGAAAGGTGTGAATGGGGCAAGTCCTCGAACGAGAGTGTACAGAACCTCGAACAGAGTGTTCAGAGCATGAAGAGTGTCGTCAACACCGTTCTCTCCCTTAAGACGCTTACGGTTGAATCGGATGTACCAGTTCGTCGTGTTCTCAATGAGGCCTAAGAGACGAGGAACGACCGTGTACAGACGGTACCCAGCCATCTCCTGGTTAACAAACTTGAGCAGACTCTGGCAACTGGCCAAGATCCAACGGTCCATGACGTTAGTGTTGGAAGCTTCGACCTTAGGATCCCACACGAAGTCGATTCCCGAGGTCTTCTTGAGAAGAGCTGCCTGGCCCTCGAAGAACTTGTAACTGTTCCACAGAGGAAGGAGGACCTTGGCGACAATCTCCTTGACACCGGATTCCTTGAACCGCAGTGGTTCAGCCCGAACAACTGGAGAGTTGATGAGGTAGAGACGGAGAGCATCCGAGCCATATCGGTCCATGATGAGCGAAGGGTCGGGGTAGTTCTTCAACCGCTTGGACATCTTCTTTCCATCCTCCGCGAGCACGATACCGTTGACAACGCAGTTCTTGAAGGGCAGCTTGCCGAAGAGGTGGGTGCCGAGGACGGTCAGGGTGTAAAACCAACCACGGGTTTGGTCCAAACCTTCGGCAATGAAGTCACCGGGGAAGCTCTTCTCGAACTGCTCCTTGTTCTCAAAGGGATAGTGCTGCTGAGCGTACGGCATAGAACCTGACTCGAACCAACAGTCGAACACTTCAGGGACGCGGCGGAGAACACCGTTGCCCTTCTTGCTTGGGATAGTAATGTTATCCACCTTGTCACGGTGGATGTCGGTAATCTCCCCTTCGTAGCCACTGAGCTCCTTGAGCTCCTGGATGCTGCCTACGGCAACAACTTCGCTGAAGTCCTCGCTAGCCCAAAGAGGGAGCGGGGTACCCCAGAATCGGTTTCGGGAAATGTTCCAGTCGCGAGCATTCTGGATCCAGCTAGCAAATCGCTTATCCTTGACGGCGCTAGGAACCCAATGGGAGTCCTCGATTCCCTTGAGCATCTGTGGAATGATGGGCTGGATCTTGACAAACCATGAAGGAACGGCTCGGTAGATCAGCGGAGTGTCTGAACGCCAACAGAATGGGTAACTGTGAGTAATCTGGCTATCGACGATCAAGCGGCCAGTGCCCTTGAGGTACTTGATGATAGCCTTGTCAGCAGCCTTGACATGTTGACCCTCGAACTCCGGGACTTCGGACGTGAAGCAGCCCATTGCGTTGACAGGGTTAGGTGGCGGACGGTTCTCATCAATGACACCACCTTCCAAGCCGACCTTGTAATCGTCCTCACCGTACGAGGGAGCCTGGTGGACGATACCTGTACCGTCATCGGCTGTAACATAGGTGGCGTTCAGGACGCGGTAACCGTAGTCCTTGAAGGTCTCGTAGAAGTAGTTGAAAAGAGGCTGGTACTTCCAGTCCTTCATCTCGGAACCCTTGAACTTCTGGACAATCTTGAACTTAGCCTTCTTGGGGTCCTTGTACAGCGTTCGAAGCAGAGATTCGAGCAGGATGTAGTGCTTGCCGGAGGCTTCGTCGAAGATCTTGATATATTCGAAATCCGGGTGTACGGCGAGGCCGGTGTTTGAAGGAAGGGTCCAGGGGGTCGTTGTCCATGCAAGAAGACATGTCTCTGGATCCTCAACGAGAGGGAATGTGACTACAACGGCGGGGTCCTGGACATCCTTGTAGTTCTGCTGAGCTTCGAAGTTGGAAAGCGGGGTGTTGAGCGCAGTGGAGTAAGGCATGACACGGAATCCCTTGTAGACGAGACCCTTGTCAAACAGTTGCTTGAAAACCCACCACACAGACTCCATAAACGGGGTGTTCATAGTCTAGATTGCGAAACGTCAGGTCAGTTTCATTTCCGCGCGCAATCTTCCTCGAGTCTGCAAAGGCGAACCTTGTAGTCATTGTCAAAGTCGATCCAGCGACCGAGCCTCTCAATAGTATCGCGCCATTCGGACGCAAACCTCATGACAATGGCCCTGCACTCCTCATTGTACTTCTCAATTCCGAGCTTCTCAACGGCCTCCAACCCAGACATGCCCAACTTCTTGTCAATTTCATACTCGATGGGCACGCCGTGTGTATCCCAACCGAATCGTCGCTCGACATAGTGACCCTTCATCGACCAGTATCGGGGGATGATATCTTTAATGGTGGAAGCCAACAGATGGCCATAGTGGGGGAGACCGGTAGCGAACGGGGGACCATCGTAGAAGGTGTACGGTTTGCGACCCTTGGAGAGTTCGACCTGCCTTTGGAAGGCATTGATCTCCTTCCATCGCTTGAGGACAACGTCCTCCTCCTTGGGGAAGTCGATGGACATGGTGGAAGCTGTGCCGTGGTGATTGTCCTAGCACACAAGCGGTTGGCCGCGGGGTAGAAACGCTTTTTGAAGAAAAAGTAGTGAGTCACCCCGCCCTGCCGACTTGTGCCAAGCCCCACTCAGTCACTTGAGTACGCCCTAGCTCTTTTGTATACCAAGTGGACTACTAGTTGAGTAAATCACCTTGTATGTCATGGATATGTTACATTGCCTCGAGCATATAGAACGTGGTATAGTATATTTAGAAGGTCATTTGCATTTACTCATCCTCCTCTTCCTCCTCGTCGTCCTCATCTTCTGATACTTCCTCGCCCAGCTCCTTCAACCGTTTCTGTGGTGAACAAAGATTAGTATATCGGCCAGCTATAGCCAAGTGTTCTGACTTACCTTGTCCTCGTTGCGCTTGGTCTCAAGGTCACCGAATACGATGAGGAGATCCTCCAGTTCAGATTGTGCGGACTGACGGGCTTCTTCCTTCTCCTTGGTCTCCGCTCGCGCCTTCTCGAGCGCCATCTGTGCTTCCTCAAGGGCCTGTGCAGTCTTTCGTGCCTCGGCTTCAAGCCTTTCGACTTCGCTTTCAGCTTGCTGGGCCCTATTTTCCAGGGCGGAACACTTCGAATTGTAGTCTTCCCTCACGGCCTCGATGTCTTGCGTAGATTGTTCTTTCAGTGTGTTAAGTTCTGATTGTATCGTCTCGTTAGCGGATTCGAGCTTGGCGATTTCAGACTCATGTTTTTGCTTCGTAGTATCCAGTCTTGATTGAAGATCCTGGACTGTCTTCTCGAGATCGGAGGCTTCACTAGCATGCCGCTCCTTTGTGCTTTCGACTTCTGATTGCAGGGTCTCGACCTTCAATTGAAGTTGAGCGACTTCGGACTCATACTGTTCGGCCTTGTCTGCCTTTGACTGCACATCATTGATAATTTTGTTGAGGTCAGCGACTTCGGATGCATGCTTTTCCCTGGATTGGCCCGTCTCCGAATTCAGAGTCTCTAGTTTTGCTTGAAGCTCAGCGACCTCTGATTTGTACTGTTCGGCCTGTCCAGCCTTCAACTGAACATCCTGGATGGTGCTGTTGAGACCAGCGACTTCGGCTGCATGTTGTTCCCTGGATCGATCTGCCTCCGACTTTAGAGCCTCGATGTGCGCCTTCAGTTCACGAGTCTCACTACCATACTGGTCTCTGACGTGAGCGAGTTCGGACTCGAGTGACCGGATTTTCTTTTGGAGGTCAGCCACTTCAGCCTCGTGCCGTTCTTTGAACTTGGCACTCTTTCTTTCATAATCAGCAGAAGTCTCTCGCAGCTGAGCGTCGATGGCTCGAAGCTGCTCTCCATGCTGCTTTAGTAATTCGTTCTTCGCTTGTTTGTGCTGCTCGTTAGATGCTGCCAATTCCTGTTCGTAACGTTTCTGGAGCGCGTCATAACTCTGCTGTAGTTTTGTAAATTCCAACCCACTAGAGTCCCTAGATTTGCGATGCTCGGCTAGCTCATGGTCTAACCTATGCCGTAGAGACACAAGCTCTGATTCAAGCTTCTGAACGAGTTGATTTCTTTCTTCGACTTCGGATTTGAGAGAGTCGACTAATTCACGTGAAACGCCTCGTTCAACACCGTTGGTGATCACGGATATTTCGAGTCCAGGCTCACGGTCAATGGCTCTTGTTAAGCGACTGAAATTATCTTTCAGAAATTCAACAAATACCCTGTCGAAGAAGATGTCGGGAAGCCCTCCTTCATAGTTTGCTCCTATCGTTTGAGGCAAGACCTCGAAATCCCGAACCAAAGGAGACTCCCTGAGTCTGGTTATTTTGTCGATGTACTGTTCCCTTCCAAGTTGTTCCAGTAAGAGTTTGTGCAGGGTCTTGCGAGGAATAGGCGAATCCTTTGAAGAGAACTCGTAGATGATACCCAGTAAGATGGTACAGAGACCAGGCACGAGCACGTTGGCGGCACCCCTGTGTTTGGTCTCCTGCAATAGAGTTTGGATGCTGCTACCCTCTCCGAGGAAGTCATTCACGGCGTCAGGGTCTTCGAACAACCAGCCACATAAGAGCATAAGATATCCAAGTGATATCCTCTCATCGTCTCCCCGCTGTATGCCCGTGATAAGATTCCCCGCAATTGTCTGGATGCAAGTTATCACTTCTTCGCCATTCTCGGCGTCGCCCTCGGTCACTCCCATAGCAACTGACTTCGCCTCAGTATTCTCATACAATAGGTGGAACATCAATATAGAAGCCATCCAAGTTTGATACGGATCAGCGTTTCCTCTCAGATCCGGAGGCGTCAGCAGCACAGTCAAGATGTTTGGGATTTCGTCTTGACCGCTAACATGTCCGTTTATCGCTCTTCCTAGCACGTGAACACGAATTCCAGTGTGATTAGTGAAGAATGCCTTGACACAATCACAGGCTGCAAGACGCGCGTCGAGAAGCTGGATTGGGGCAGGCTCAAGCGAGAGTTTGAGCAACGCCTCAATCACGTTGATCCGAGGAAGTGGTTTTGCTTTGTTCCCATTTACTCCATCATTAGCCTGCCCAGCACCCCAGAAAACCTCAACATCCCCAAAGCGCTCTTGTAGCGGTTGATTGCCGCGGATTAGATCGGCGCAGGTTGCTAGGGCCTAAATTAGTTAGCGTTGTGGTTCGCTTCTGTATAAGGCGTCTACTGACCTTAGCAGTCACGTTAACCGTAAACCGCTGGCCAAATGCTGTGCTCAAGATCTGTTCCATCAGACCGGTATTCCAAAACGCCATTTGGTTAGTAGGAGTATTGACACCACCCTTGACCAAGAATAGCTGGACTATGACCAGCAGACCCCAAACATTCTTGTCCCGATGAGCGAGTGCCCATTGTGGTGTAGGCTCCTCGGGATCCTCCTCCCGGTTAACATCAGCGAGCAGCTTTGCCAGCCTCTGTATACAGCCCGTCTCGCGGAAGTAAGACTGGTTAGGGATGTTTAGTCTCAACAAATTGGCGAGAAGTGAGAGACAGTCCTCAATAACCTCTGATCCGTGTACCAAACCTCCTTCCGACTCTATCAGTGAGCATATGGTCTCGAAGGCATTCTCAAAAGCGACAAGTTTCTGCAGTTCTTCCGAGGCAGGCGTCAACGCGATGAGAAGTAGCAGTGCTTCTGTAAGACGTAAAGCCGCGGTCAGCTGTATGTTCTCCGTTCGATCACACAGGCCATAAAGTATGCGTACCATTTCGTACCGGCTCCCGCGCATCACCCAGGGCACTGACTAGCCTAGGAATACCCAATGGTGCTGTTAAGATACATTCCTGTGTTCTCTCAGGGCGGGCGCTCGATATCTGGAACATGAGCTGTAATGAATATAGGCGCGAATAGAAGTCCCGGGTGTCCAGAAGGTCTAACAGAGCCGTAATATTGTCTTGTCGCTGGGTGAACTCATCGGATAGCCATAGGGCTATTTCATCAGAAGCTTCGGGCTGGACAAAGACGTCAGCGTAGCCATTATATTTCCGACAGCTAAAGAGAGACAAACACTGCTTGCATCCGGCGAGAATAGCATCAACAAGGTCTCCAAGACGACCTTGAGAGTATCGACATCCTCCCGATCATTGCGGAGGCTGCTAATCAGCGACCGGAGGGCACCCGACGCGACGGACGCAGGATATATTTTCGCGAAGCTCCTCAGCCCTTGTATAGCTGCTCTCCGATCTTCCAGTAGTGTGGCGCTCTGCAGTCTATTCGTCAAGGTGTTGATCGTGTCCGTCGCCGTTTGTTTGACGGGCGCCTGCGACTCGAGGATTCGGAACATCGCAACGGGTCATTCGATATTTCATGGTCACCGCCAGCTGGAAGAGTAGGAATTGATATACATCGAACAATCGAAGCGAAGCCGAGCCAACGATGAACGGTGAGCTGTCCCCTCGGAGCTAGTTACATACAAATCACCAAGTCCACCGCCAAGTGGCCGCTAAAGCCCGTCGGAACCGCGACAAAAGAAGCACCGAAACAGCCGCAACTTCGGCCGGCGACTGTCGCATTCGCAGAGTCTTCATTGTTCCTCTGTCCTCTTTGACAATCACGGCCTGCCTCTGATTCAATCCGGGAGCAGTGTCTTTTCCGTCAAAGACAACTTTCTTTTTACAACACATTTTTTTTACGGAGACGTCCTTCCAGTTCAAGTGTTTGAGTCGCCGATGGAGCATCACGTTGGACGTGGCTAAATTCTCTAGTTTACGTTATTAAAGTCAGAAAAGAATTTAATATTCTTTTTCGCGCTTTTCATTTTCATTGTATATCTTCCTGATACATCATATCTCATCATGGGTGTTCCGGCTCTGTTCAGATGGCTCTCCAAGAAGTATCCGAAGATTATCTCCTCGGTAATCGAGGAACTTCCGCACGAAGTCAATGGAGAAGAAATTCCCGTTGACGCTACCGGCCCGAATCCAAATGGCGAAGAGATGGATAACCTGTATCTCGACATGAACGGCATTGTCCATCCGTGCACGCACCCCGAGGGCAAGCCGCCGCCGGCGAACGAGCAGGAGATGATGATCGAGATTTTCAAGTACACGGATCGGGTCGTGAACATGGTCCGTCCTAGGAAGCTTTTGATGATCGCCGTTGGTACGTCTACTATGTCTCGTGTTGCCTGGAATACCATCTAATCGAGTTTCCTGCAGATGGCGTCGCGCCCCGCGCAAAGATGAACCAACAGCGAGCGCGTCGATTCCGATCTGCCCAAGAGGCCAGAGAGCAGGATGAGAAGAAGGAGGAGTTCCGGAAAATGCTCGCGAAACAGAACGGAGGCAAAGATCAAGGGCTGCAGGAGGAGGTCATCCAGAAGACGTGGGATAGCAACGTTATCACACCCGGAACACCCTTCATGGACATCCTTGCTGCATCCCTGCGGTACTGGATCGCATACAAGCTCAACACTGATCCTGCTTGGGAGAAGGTATGTTTCCTTTTTCAGTGATGTGCTCAAGTTCTAACGGAAATAGATGAAAATTATCATCTCCGATGCTACGGTGCCCGGTGAAGGTGAACATAAGATTATGGAGTTTATCCGGTCACAGCGTGCTTCGCCTGAGCACGACCCGAACCTCCGCCACGTTATCTACGGATTGGTATGTCTTTGTCATATTGAGATTAGAACATGGGCTAACCGTAATATAGGACGCGGACTTGATCATGTTAGGTTTAGCTACCCATGAGCCCCATTTCAGAGTTCTACGAGAAGACGTATTCTTCCAAGACTCAAAGCCACGGACTTGTCATCTCTGTGGCCAACCTGGCCATAAAGCCGAAGAGTGCAGAGGTCAAGCTAAGGAGAAGAACGGAGAGTTCGACGAGAAAGGAAAGGGTGCGACTCTCAAGCCGTTTATCTGGCTCCACGTCTCTGTTCTGCGCGAATATCTTGCGGCCGAACTCTTTGTCCCGCAACAACCATTTCCGTTTGATCTCGAGAGGGCGCTGGATGACTGGGTCTTCATGTGTTTCTTTGTAGGAAACGATTTCCTTCCGCACTTGCCATCATTGGACATTCGCGAGGATGGTATTGACACTTTGATCGCGATCTGGCGTGATAACATTCCGTTAATGGGCGGATATCTTACTCAGGATGGGCGCGTGGATCTAAAGAAAGCCCAGCTCATTCTCCAGGGTCTCGCTAAACAGGAAGATGCCATCTTCCGCCGTCGTAGACAGGCGGAAGAAAGGAAACTTGCCAACGAGAAAAGGCGCAAGCAGGAAGAAAAGGCGCGCAGTGAAGAGCGTGCTCGGAAACGAAGACGTAGCTCCCCTTCTTTCGGGGCGGTTGAGTCACCTACGCACGCAAAGGGCCGCGGCTCTGGTGCTGATGCGCCACCAGCCGGACTTGAGTTGATAACCCCTGCTAGGGGTGAGTTGGCCAGGCACACCAGGGAGCTTACTCATAGCATGGTGGTCAACCGCGGGAATGTCTACCGAGCCAATGAAGCGAACAAGAGCGCCGCTGCTGTCCTGAAGAGCAGATTGATGGGAGGACAGGACAATCAGCCATCTGAAGATACGGAGTCAACAGCCGACTCATCTGACGCACAGCCTGAAGGGCCTGTACAACTTGGAAAACGAAAGGCGGATGATGCGGAAGTTGGTCAACTTGGTACTGAGTCCCCAGGCAAGGCAGCGCCCGCGAAAAATGATGAGTTGCCTCCAGACACAGTCCGCCTGTGGGAAGAAGGATACGCCGACCGGTACTATGAACAGAAATTTGGCGTTGATCCACAGGATAAGGAGTTCCGTCACAAAGTCGCGCGGGCGTATGCCGAAGGCCTTGCGTGGGTTCTGTTGTACTATTTCCAAGGTTGCCCTTCCTGGACATGGTACTATCCGTACCATTACGCACCTTTCGCCGCAGACTTTGTGGATATCGGTGATATGGAATTGTCATTTGAAAAAGGCATTCCTTTTAAGCCGTATGAACAGCTGATGGGTGTGCTTCCTGCATCTTCGAATCATGCTATACCCAAGGTGTTCCACCCGTTGATGACCGAGCCCGACAGCGAGATCATTGACTTCTACCCCGAGGATTTCCCGGTCGACTTGAATGGTAAGAAATTCGCTTGGCAAGGTGTGGTACTACTACCCTTCATCGATGAAAAGCGACTCCTGGATGCTATGCACAAGAAGTACCCCCTTTTGACCGAGGATGAGAAGGCTCGCAACACTGTCGGTCGAGAAGTTCTTCTTCTATCAGAGAGTCACCCATTATACCAAGAGCTGGTAGGAAATTTCTACTCTAAAAAGCAAGGCGCCCCCAAGTACAAACTCAACATGCGAGTGAGTGATGGACTCGCTGGCAAGGTCGAGAAAAATGAGGCGTACATCCCACATAGCTCCCTTGTGTCATCTTTGGAAGAATACGGCATGCCAAGCCTAGATGACGACCGTTCGCTAATGTAAGTTGCTTCTTTTGATGACCGTTAACGTTGGCTAACCCAGTTTCCTTGCTAGTGTCAATTACGAGATACCCAAGTCAACAAATCTGCATAAATCCATGCTTCTCAGGGGAGTGAAGTTTGGTCCTCCGGCTTTGGACAACTCTGACATCCAAGCCACCAAATCCAGAGCGCAGCACTCCGGACGCTCATTTGGTGGAGCACCTTTCCGCGGTGGACGAGGGGGTCGAATGAATTATGCCGGCGATAGACAGAATCGCGGCAATGATAGGCAGAACCATGGCAACAACAGACCAAATCCCTTTGCGGCGCACCTTGATCCCAAGTTCATACCTGGCGGCAACTCAGGGGGGCAGATGGGGATGCCCACTGGCTGGGTCCCCCCTGCCGGCAATTTCTCGAGAGGGCCACCGCCCCCTCCCCGTGGAGGAATGTCGCAAGGATACGGCACACAGCAATATGGATCATATGGTGGACATGGGCAGCAGCATGGGCAGCAGCGCGGCTATCAACAACAGAACTACGGCCAGGGCGACTATTATGGCCGCGGGCAATCAGCGCAGTATAACAACGGCCCGGTCGATTACTACAGCGGACGCCCATCGGGCTATGGTGCGCAAGATTCTCGAGGCGGAGGGCATAGCCGCGGCGGCTACAGAGGAGGCCGAGACAATTATTCATCAAGAGGTCAAGGCGGATACGGCAGATACTAGAGGGGTGGATGTCTCCCTTCACTGGAATAGATGATCTGCGCGTGCCAGAAAAGTCCGATGCCAATGATATATTGGGTGCAGTTTTGCTTTTTCGAGTTCTTAGTGATCAGACGAAGGACGGCGTTCATGGGGAGACGAGCTGGAAGGTATCTGATATCCCTTGTAGAGTATAACAGAATAACAGACTATGCCAAAGGCAACGCATTGATTAATAATTCCATCGTTGTGAAATCGTAGATCTAATAGATATGGTGCCGAGCGACGACATCGGAGCTGCGGGGAGAAAAATCCCCAGGTAGGGATTAATTTTGAATGAGTCAATCGTAAGCTCTTTTTCTTTTGCCCGCTCTTTCAACACCGGTTCTACCACTCTCCACGCTCAATTCATTCTGGTCCAGTTTGGTCTGGTCCTTTTTTGTTCACATTTTGTCTTTGCAAGGTCAGTTCGAATCTCCGAATCATCCCAAGCCCCTCCGCTTGGTTCTCCGGTGCCGCACCGCTCATTGCGCTCTGAATGCGCCCTGAGCGCGACCACTCTTGACCCGGGAAATGAAGCTGCGAACAAGCTCTAACATGCCATTCTTGGATTAGGTGACGGACCTTTTCCATTGATCGCTTCGTAGCAGTCCGAAAGCATACGAGATTGCTTGGGAGCTCCGTCGCAAGATCCCACCAGCATGAACTAGAGACACCGACATTTCACTCTTGTACCGTCTTTTGTGTTATCTTCGCTGTCTCATACAATGTCGGAACCTACAAAAATTAGCATCCTGGGCCGGGAAAGCATCATCGCTGACTTCGGACTTTGGCGCAACTATGTGGCCAAGGACCTAATCAACGACTGCCCCTCTACCACCTATGTCCTCATCACCGATACGAACATTGGATCGATCTATACTCCCGGCTTCCAGAAGGCATTTGAAGATGCCTCCGCCGCCGTCTCTCCCTCCCCGCGCCTCCTCATTTACAACGCACCCCCGGGCGAAGTCTCCAAGTCCAGACAGACGAAAGCTGACATTGAGGATTGGATGCTGAGCCAGAACCCGCCATGTGGCCGTGATACTGTGGTTATCGCTCTGGGTGGAGGAGTCATTGGAGATTTGACCGGATTTGTCGCTTCGACCTACATGCGCGGTGTCCGCTATGTGCAGGTTCCCACCACTCTTCTGGCCATGGTAGATTCATCAATTGGCGGAAAGACCGCGATTGACACTCCGCTAGGCAAGAACTTGATTGGCGCGATCTGGCAACCAACAAAGATTTACATTGACCTCGAGTTCTTGGAGACACTGCCGGTGCGAGAGTTCATCAACGGCATGGCCGAGGTCATCAAGACAGCAGCCATCTCCAGCGAAGAGGAATTCACAGCGTTGGAGGAGAATGCGGAGACAATTTTGAAAGCGGTCCGTCGGGAGGTCAAGCCAGGACAACACCGTTTTGAGGGCATTGAAGAGATTCTCAAGGCGAGGATTCTGGCATCTGCGCGGCACAAGGCGTTTGTCGTCTCCGCGGACGAGCGCGAGGGTGGTCTCCGGAACCTTCTGAACTGGGGTCACTCCATTGGCCATGCCATCGAAGCTATCTTGACGCCGCAGATTCTCCACGGAGAGTGTGTCGCGATCGGTATGGTCAAGGAGGCAGAACTGGCTCGCCATCTTGGTATTCTGAAGGGCGTTGCAGTTTCCCGCATTGTGAAGTGTCTCGCTGCCTACGGGCTGCCCACTTCGCTGAAGGATGCTCGGATTCGCAAACTGACTGCTGGCAAGCACTGCTCGGTCGACCAGCTGATGTTCAACATGGCTTTGGACAAGAAGAACGATGGGCCCAAGAAAAAGATCGTCCTCCTCTCTGCCATTGGAACTACCTACGAGCCTAAAGCCAGTGTTGTTGCCAACGAGGAGATCCGCGTCGTCCTCGCCCCCAGTATTGAAGTCCACCCAGGCGTCGAACAGTCCTCGAACGTCGTTTGTGCGCCTCCAGGATCCAAGAGTATCTCTAACCGCGCTTTGGTCCTCGCTGCCCTTGGTTCAGGCACTTGCCGAATCAAGAACCTCCTACACTCCGACGATACAGAGGTCATGCTGAACGCCCTGGAAAGACTCGGTGCTGCCACTTTCTCCTGGGAAGAGGAGGGTGAAGTGCTGGTGGTGAACGGCAAGGGTGGAAACTTGCAAGCATACCCCTCGCCGCTGTACCTAGGAAATGCTGGCACTGCCTCCAGATTCCTTACCACTGTCGCCACGCTTGCCAACACGAGCACTGTCGACTCCAGCGTTCTTACTGGTAACAACCGCATGAAGCAACGCCCTATTGGGGACCTGGTGGATGCGTTGACCGCCAACGGAGCCTCCATTGAATATGTGGAAAGGACGGGCAGTCTCCCTCTCAAGATTGCTGCCTCGGGCGGTTTTGCCGGAGGAAACATCAACCTGGCTGCCAAGGTGTCATCTCAGTATGTGTCTTCGCTGCTTATGTGCGCCCCTTACGCCAAGGAGCCAGTGACGTTGAGACTGGTCGGCGGAAAGCCCATTTCTCAACCTTACATTGATATGACCACCGCAATGATGCGCTCTTTCGGCATTGATGTGCAAAAGTCGACCACTGAAGAGCACACTTACCACATTCCTCAAGGTCGTTATGTCAACCCTGCGGAATACGTGATCGAGAGCGACGCCAGCTCTGCGACCTACCCGCTCGCCGTTGCAGCGGTCACTGGTACTACCTGCACCGTTCCCAACATTGGCTCGGCTTCACTTCAAGGTGATGCCCGGTTTGCCGTCGAGGTCTTGAGGCCCATGGGCTGCACAGTTGAGCAGACTGAAACCTCCACTACCGTCACTGGACCCTCGGACGGCATTCTGCGACCCCTTCCTAACGTGGACATGGAGCCCATGACTGATGCATTCCTTGGTGCTTCCGTGCTGGCAGCCATCGCCCGTGGAAAGGACGGAAACCACACCACCCGCATCTACGGTATTGCTAACCAGCGTGTGAAGGAGTGCAACCGCATCAAGGCCATGAAGGACGAGCTGGCCAAGTTTGGCGTTGTCTGCCGCGAACACGACGACGGTCTTGAGATTGACGGAATTGACCGCGCAACTCTGCGCCAGCCATCCGGTGGTATTTACTGCTATGACGACCACCGAGTTGCATTCAGTTTCAGTGTCTTGTCTCTTGTGACTCCCCAGCCGACACTTATTCTTGAGAAAGAATGTGTTGGAAAGACATGGCCCGGCTGGTGGGACACCCTCCGCCAGCTGTTCAAGGTGAAGCTAGAGGGCAAGGAACTGGAAGAGGAATCCGTGGCTGCCAGCGGCCCTGACAGGGCCAACGCTTCGATTTACATCATCGGCATGCGTGGTGCTGGAAAGTCCACAGCAGGAAATTGGGTTTCCAAGGCGCTGAACCGACCATTTGTCGATCTGGACACAGAACTCGAGACTACCGAGGGCATGACCATCCCGGACATCATCAAGACGCGAGGCTGGCAAGGCTTCCGAGACGCAGAATTAGATATCTTAAAGCGTTCTCTTAAAGAACGCCCCAAGGGATATGTCTTTGCCTGTGGTGGCGGTGTAGTGGAGATGCCTGAAGCCCGCAAGCTGCTTGTTGACTACCACAAGACTAAGGGCAATGTTCTGCTTCTCATGCGCGACATCAAGAAGATCATGGACTTCTTGTCAATCGACAAGACCCGCCCCGCTTACGTCGAGGACATGATGGGCGTATGGCTGCGACGGGAGCCGTGGTTCAAGGAATGCAGCAACATCCAGTATTACAGCCGGGATGCCTCACCAACCGGGCTGGCTCGCGCGTCCGAGGACTTTAACCGGTTCTTGCAAGTTGCGACCGGGCAGATCGACAGCCTCAGCATCATCAAAGAGAAGGAACACTCTTTCTTTGTGTCTCTGACTCTGCCTGATTTGCGTGAAGCCGGTGATATCCTCGAGGAGGTGTGCGTTGGGTCTGACGCCGTGGAGCTGCGAGTCGATCTGCTCAAGGATCCCGCCTCAAACAGCGACATCCCCTCGGTCGACTATGTCGTGGAGCAGCTGTCCTTCCTACGAAGCCGCATCACACTGCCTGTCATCTTTACCATCCGTACTCAGAGCCAGGGCGGTCGATTCCCCGATGAAGCCCACGACGCTGCGCTGGAGCTGTACCGCCTTGCTTTCAGATCTGGATGCGAGTTCGTTGACCTCGAGATTGCCTTCCCTGAGGACATGCTACGGGCCGTTACGGAAATGAAGGGATCCTCCAAGATCATTGCGTCCCACCACGATCCCAAGGGCGAGCTTTCATGGGCTAATATGTCCTGGATCAAGTTCTACAACAAAGCGCTCGAATACGGTGACATTATCAAGCTGGTTGGCGTCGCCCAGAACCTTGACGACAACACAGCTCTGCGGAAGTTCAAGAACTGGGCCGCTGAAGCTCACGACGTCCCTCTCATCGCCATCAACATGGGTGACCAGGGTCAACTGAGCCGTATCCTCAACGGCTTCATGACACCTGTCTCTCACCCTAGTCTGCCATTCAAGGCTGCCCCTGGTCAGCTCTCCGCCACTGAGATCCGCAAGGGTCTGTCCCTCATGGGCGAGATCAAGACCAAGAAGTTCGCCATCTTCGGTAGCCCCGTCTCCCAATCCCGCTCCCCGCCCCTCCACAACACGCTCTTCTCCCAAGTCGGCCTCCCCCACAACTACAACCGGCTCGAGACCGCCGTCGCCCAAGACGTGCAGGAGTTCATCCGCTCCCCCGACTTCGGCGGCGCCTCCGTCACAATCCCGCTCAAGCTCGACATCATGCCCCTCCTCGACGAAGTCGCAGCCGAAGCCGAGATTATCGGCGCCGTCAACACCATCATCCCCGTGCCAACCGGCAAGAACACGCCCGCCCGCCTGGTCGGCCGCAACACCGACTGGCAGGGCATGATCCTGTCCCTCCGCAACGCGGGCATCTACGGCCCCAAGTCCAAGGAACAGACACAGTCCGCCCTCGTCGTCGGCGGCGGCGGCACCGCCCGCGCAGCCATCTACGCCCTCCACAACATGGGCTACTCGCCCATCTACATCGTCGGCCGCACGCCCGCCAAGCTGCAGAGCATGGTCTCCACTTTCCCGAGCAGCTACAACATCCGCATCGTCGAGAGCCCCGCCAACTTCGAGTCCGTCCCCCACGTCGCGATCGGCACAATCCCCGCGGACCAGCCGATTGACTCGGCGATGCGCGAGACGCTCTGCTCGATGTTCGAGCGCGCGCAGGAGGCAGACGCCGAGACCGTCAAGTCTGTCGAGCATGCGCCCCGCGTGCTGCTGGAGATGGCGTACAAGCCGCAGGTAACCGCGCTGATGAGGCTGGCGTCTGATTCCGGCTGGAACACGATTCCGGGGCTGGAGGTTCTGGTTGGTCAGGGGTGGTACCAGGTACGTTGTCGTTTACTTCTTTCTAGGTTCGGGCTGGTGGGCTGACTGAATATAGTTCAAACACTGGACGGGTATCTCGCCGTTGTATGAGAGTGCTAGGGTAGGGACCCTCATTTCCTCTGACTGGACATACCTTTGTGCTAACCTTGCTCTAGGCTGCGGTTCTAGAATCTGAGTAGACGGCGGACTTACTAGGTCCCTTACATACCTCCAGCTTATATTCTTTATTATCCCATACATAAAAGCGCGTTGTTTCCGTGTGTTGAACGTTAGACGTCCATCTTGGTCTGATTATGCATACATACAATACCTACCTTCCCACTACTCCGTACCTTACCTTCTCTGAGACCAGAGCAGAGCCCACCAGGTATCTCAATCACCTTCCCTCAATAAACTAGGCATCTACGTTCCAGTTGCATGTGAAGTGCAAGTCACGCCACCCCCGGCCCTAAGTAGCCCACACCCTTGTACGAACCTGTAAACAGCATAAGGTTAACCTTCACATCTACCTCCAGACCCAAGCGGAGATAACTCTAACAACCCCGGACCCATTCTTCCCCGTAACTTGTTGCTTGACCATGGTCCTGCTAGCGTTAGGGTTGTGTAGGCGAAGCCCGAAAAGCTACCATACCCATCGCTGGAGTTAGAACCTTATCTCTATCTCCATCTACCATAATCTAAGAATAGAAAGATAACCTACTATCAACAACGCTCGGTAATCAGTCCAACCAACCAACGTGACCTTATTCCCCGGCCACATGGCGATCTGCATCCAGTCGTCCGTAGTCCGTACTATACAATGCCAATACGCAGTCCAGTCCAACAACAATAACCGCACTAGCAAAGTCTAGATTAATCCTTTGCAAGGGTCATCTGGACAACCCCCTGCACGGGAGAAAAAAAAATCGAGATCTCGAGCGTTCTAGATCGTGCGATCGGGGGGATTCGAGAAATCGACCTTGTTTTCGCTGGTCTGGACTCTTTCCCGCGAAGATCATCGAACGGGCAGCTTGCATGGGAGGGCCAGGGGGCTGTGCAACTGCAGCTGCTAAAGCGAGTCCGGCCGGTCGGGACTCGGGACCGCCCAGTGCCCAGTGTCCAGTGTGCCCACAGGATCGAGAGCGAGAACGGTCGGCTGCGCTAAGGGTTGCAGACTAGACACTAGACAACGCAGTCGGACTCGCATGGTCTGGATGCGTCGGGAAAATTCTGACGCTGAAGTGCTCGCTTGACTCTTGAGGAACCAAGCTGAATTACGGAGTACCTAGTGTTCGTCTGGATTGTACGGACTACGGAGTAGAGAGGGTCAGTTCTAGCGATACCGGGTCCCACCGTCCAGTGACCAGTCTCAGACAGTGTGATGGGTATGCGACTGCGTGGACACTACAGTAGATACTGGATACTGGATACTAGATACTAGATAGAAACAAAATCTATTTTAAGCGCGGCTCAACGGTCGCACCCCGACTAAAGTGAGACATCGCAACAATTCCACGGTAGGTTGCGCGTCAACGACGCAACGCGCTACGGTATCAGTGACAGTGAGACAAGATAGACTGTCGCTGTCTGAGATTTCGAGATGCGAGATTCAGCCGTGTGTCGGGCGAACCCCGGTTCTGCGTCGGGGTTCTGTTGATAGCTGAGACCGGCTGAGACATGTTCTCTCGGTAGGCTACGCCTCGGGGAAATTCCACGAATACGAAGCACGCTCCCTTCCGGTGAAGATTCTTATCGCTGTCTTTGTCTTTGGCTTTGTCTACGGTCGTTATCGGGTGAGACGGACCCGAGTCGCTGAGCAGTGAGAGTGAGCGCTCGCTCCAGCTGGTCTGGGCTGATCTGCCGGGCCGAGTCTCCAGCGTCCGGGGAGATAGTTATCGATATCGAGATCAATACGGATTATGGATAGCATTGGCAGGTCATTTGATCAGACATCAAGGGCTCCGAAGAAGTCGCACAACTCAGCCACACCTTGTCCAACCCACTGAGCAAGATTAGAATACCTTACTTCCTATGTCCGAAGCCGAAGATGACTCGACACGGAGACATCCTCCGGACATTAATCATGCCTTTCAGCCTTCAGTAGCAGTGACAGCAACAGGGCACTGGAGCCGGGGGTTCGTAATCCCGTTCGTTCGCTCGCTCGCTCGCATCTCGGAAGCGAGGCTTGCTTACTGATTGTAAGCAACTTCTCGAATCTCCTGCAGCCAAGAAGAACCCGCCCTGGCCATGGTCACGCTGGCAGATTCGAACAAAAGGAAGGCTTCTGGAACGGCGCTAGAAAGAGTTTTTCTTCTCTAGCGGCCTTCCTAAGTCAGATTGATACTAGCCTTGCTTGTGAGGCATGGAAGAAAGGTGCGGATGCGGAGTGCCCGAGGCTAGCTCTTGGCGTTTCTCGGAATTCGGCTCCGGGGTCTGTTTTGCGCGGTACGGGGCTGTATTTTATTTCGCTTTGAAGTTTTCTCCGTACAGCCACACGACCACGGGAGTCGAACAAAGGAGGTTGTTCCGGGTGCTTCGATGGCTATGGCTTGACTCTTCTTTCAAGGCTTTTAGTCCGTATTCCCTGCACTGTCCATTCAGATTTCTGCAAGAACAAACAATGCAGCATCTCTGACTTCCATATGGCATACAAAGCCGTCCTGACTCGATCGACCCACCCCCAGCTTCCACCCACTCACTGGCCTCGGCCGGCTCCATGCGACCCAGAAACCCGACGAGCCAGTGTGTGGCTGTGGCTTAGCAGCGACCCTACCAATCACGCGGGCGTCTTCACATGGCAGGAAAAAAATTTTCACACCACCTTGGCCCTGCATTGTATGCGACCGTACTAAAATAATAAAGTGCTGACACCACAAAGCCTAGTGGCCTATCAGATATCCATGATGCCGAATTCCGGTACGGTGAAAATTCTGCTCTGCGTGTTCTTTATCTCCGAGGCTTCAGGGGTGTTGCATTGCAGAAGTTCCAGGGTAGGGTTGCTTGGACTTGTCGCATCCATGATTTTTTGTGGCGCCTGGAAGGGTCGTATGTAGGAGCTGTAGAAGGGGGACAGGGGCAGAGTTTGGTTTGGTTCGCTTGGAAGTTGGATAGAGCTGAGCCGAGATGGCGTAGTCAATAATAATATGTTCGGCTAGGTCAACCATTCGGTGCGTGGTTCTCCGGCGCATAGTACGAATGACACGCCGAGGGGAACCTACTTTTCAGGGCGTTGTCCAAGTCGTTTCAATCGCCGGTATTCCCATCGCTGCGACTGGTGACCGAAGCCGAACATACGCCGGCATAGCCTGTCATGCAACCCCAGCTCTCAGGCTGAGACTGAGAGTGAGATCCCGATCGGCTACCCGCTCGGCCGGCAAGTACACTGCAACGCCACCCACCCGCTCGCTTGGAACTCGAACCCCGGCTTGCGGGCTTATGGCTTATGGCTTATGCTTACTCTGCTCACGCGACAATATGGTACGCTTACCTGCAGTTGGCGTTGGCTGGGTGAACAAAGCAAGCGATATCGGCATCTATCAGACCAGATTTCTACACCGTAGACCTCCGGCCAATGTTGCAGTACGGCAATGCGAAGTAAGAATAATAAAGTAGGTAACCGCATAACTGGAGACTCGCCACCCGTTTCAGCTGCTCAATTACGGGGTACCGGACGTTGAAGGCTTGAAGCCGCGGCTTGTGGGCACTGGACCGGCTATTGCTGTTTGCTCGAGACCGAGTCAGTGAGTCACCGTGCTTTGTATCCTGATTGAACAAAGCAGGACCCAAGAGGCTTGCAGGCGGCAGGTGCAGGTTTGACGGCTCCAGTCGGGGTTGGAAAGAGGGCTGAGTCCGGGGTTGAGATCCACTTCCAAGGTCCGTCCGCGTGGGACAGTCTGCTCCGTTCGGAGGACTTGGTCCGGGCGACTCACAACTACGAGGATGGAGAAGTCGTACGAGACAATTCAAGAATGATTGGTGGGCTCTTGTGGTTCCCTGGATCCCCGTACATACCAAACTTTGCAATGTGCGAGGAGCTGAGATTAAGTTTCGTTCTGCGTCTCTCATTGCTCGATCTATAGAGATCTGAAGCGGATTGGCGGGTCGAGTCCTGCTACTGCATTCAGTTCTTTTGCATTGTGTTGTACGGGGTGTAGGCAGCTTTATTTCGAGTTCAGCTCGGCGAATCCATATGAAAGCGAAATAGTGAATGAGCTGAATGAGCGTATGCGCATTATGAGACGAATAACCAAGAGTAAGTACCCGTATGTAGAGGTACAAGCGGAGTCAGACATGTCTCGGCGCTTTATGTAAGTCAAAGTCTGCGAGCACATGGCAGAAACTAGTTCGGTCAGGTGCCTGCTAGAGACCGTTGAGACCTACCAGCAGCTACTACTAAGACAAGCCCATAGTCAGATAATAGGATAGCGAGACCCATTGTATGACCGGGTGATCATGTTGTTGCGGCTACTAGGTCATGTGCTCACTAGTAGCACAGTACAGTCAAGTCCAGACGGTCGGCCATTCTTGCCTAGTCTGACGAGCGACGACCAGAGATGTATCAGCTGACCAAGTCAAGCTGAGCCTCGAGGCATCGCGATTCACGAGAGACCACGTTGTCAGGTCGCAGCTTGGTCTGGTTCGGATGTAGCTGCCGTAAAGGTTACCCGTTGCGGTGGTAAACAGGGCATAGTAGGGGAACGCCGACGGAAAATAAAGTTATGCAACGCCGAGGCTTTCATCCTTCAACGTCCAATTCCGAGTCCGGTCTGTGGTCCCTGGCGCGCAGTGCATGCATGCAGAGCGTCAGCAGAAACGTGGTCAGTGGTCAGCGAACAGCGCTAAATGGATCTGCTTTGAGTCTGACAGGCGAGGGCGCAAGAGTCCCTGGGTGCTGGGGTGCATCTCAGGCCGCAGGCGTCCGGTGAAGTCCGATGCTCAAGCCACAGATGGTAACCGTGCCGTAACCGATCGTATCTGATGGACATGTGGCGCAGTCCATTCATTCTTCGAGGACGGAGCAGCCAGTGCCGCTGCAGCCACTCAGCGCGTGCTTTGTGGACTGTGGAGAAAATTCATTCAAACAATGATCTTCAGATGGGCAGAGGCCTTTGAACTTTCGACCCGCTTCCAGCAGCTTGGGGAATGGAATTCAAGCCACGCAGATGCAGGCTGCAAGGCTTTGTCTGACTCTGACTCTTCATTTGTCATCCACTGCGAGTGCGGGCGAGCGATCTCCGGGCCTCGGGTGTCGGTTTGTCCATCTCCATCTCCAGGTATGGATGAGATCGGTGGCTGAGCGCTAATGCTTCCACTCGACACTACGGAGTACTCTGCTTGCTCAGCATAACACTACGCTGCTGATGACAGTGGTGGGTCGCGATTAACTGCCCAATCTGCGCTGCGGTATCGGCTGTCCGAGGTATGCGATTATGCGATTCTCAGTCAGGCACTCAGGGTCTAACGCTTGACTCATCTGAATAATGCCCCTGTCAGCAGAACTGTAGGTTCAGTCTGCCTTGTAGGGAGAACTCGGCCCGGAGATACGAGTACCGGTTCTATACGACATACGATGTGAAGACACGCCGGGTAAATCATGGGGAAAAGTCACAGACCACCAGGCACTGGGGATGGATGGAAAATCTCTGCTGTGGCTTGGGCCAAATTGACAAAGACAAGCCCAATCGAACAAGACAGGGCTGGAAAGGAGGTTAACCTGAAGAAGGATCTGCGTGCGTTGACACCAAGATCGTCGCTGGGAAAAAATAGAATAAACCGAATGAAAATAAAAATAAATTCAAATATTGGCTCTAGCGCGATACCGGTATCTTACGCAAAGTTACCGCTAGTCGCCTGTCCCCAACAGCGCACCCGAGAGCTTCACTGCGCTAGTGTGATATCATCAGGTCGACAGCTATTAATTATGCCTCTCCTCCCAGACGTCTCGATGTCTCCCCAGACTCAACGCAAACACCAAACACACCCTCTTCACATCAGCTCAACATCACTTGATACCCAAACACTCCGAGGTGAGTGACTCATTAGCCAACAATGACACCCAATCCCCACTGCTGCCATATCGGCCATACTCTCATATCACCGTGACAGAGTTCATCGTCATCCGCGACTAACCTAATCACTATGCCAGACCCAGACAAACGGACTCCCCCCTCGATTTAAAATCAGCCTGTGTCCTGACAATTGGCTTCATCATTACTTGCCAGACCTTTCCAGAACCATCCTTCAACTAGCACTCGAACCACAGAACCTCCCCCCAGGACCCTGGGACACAGACTCCTGTACTTTGGCGGTGGCCTTGCGAGCCAACCTATTATTACTTATCAGCTCAGCTCTCCCCGAGTGGCGAATCGATCTCCACTACATTATGTTCATGCAGCCATCGCTACGTAAAGCTGCCATCAACGATCTGACTTCCTCCGTTCCCTTCATCAACTATCCCGACTCGGTCTACATCAACCAGGACGACCAGTTCCTCTCCGAGTACTCCCAAGACCTCCCCTACCAGTACCTCTCTCAGCAAGATCAGGGCCGACTGCAGTCGCCCTTCAAGTACCGCCAGAACCTCAACTTCGTCTCTCCTCCCTCATCCGTGCCATCTTCTCCCACCTCGTCGCCAGCCTCCTCGGTCTCGCACTTTCCCGCCACAACGGCAGCTTCTGCCGACTACTCCGCCGTCTTCGACGGTTCCAGCTTCGAGGCTCCTTCGATGACACCGGCCTCCTCCTACAACCCTGAGATTCACATCCAGCACTCCAACTCTCCACAGCAGCAGTCCTACCTTCCTCACTACAACCAGCAATTCGTATTTGACAATTCCCAAATGCTGGCGCAACAGCAGTTTATGCCCAACAGCCACGGCTGGGACAACAGCCTGCCGCTGTCCAGCCCGCACAGTGTCCAGCGCATGCCGCAGCAGTACAGTGGCCACCAGCAGACCTCCAGCTCATCGTCAAGGTCACCGGTGAACCAACGTTCTGCTTACAACAGTGCTCTTACAAAACCTCTGCCGACGCCGGTGCACACGCCAGTACAGCAGTCGTTCCTTACTCCTCAATTTCACAAGACCGAGCTGGCCCAGGATGGCAACTACAATTTGGTCCCAGAGCAGCAGCAGCAGTCAAGCGAGCACTCCCACGCACCTTCCGTTTCCACTATCAGCCACAACTCCCCCGTCACTCCTCAAAACCAATTTGAAGAGGTCGAGGACTCCAAAGTTGCTCCTAATGGTGAGAACCAACCTTCCGATGACCGATGGCTAGATGATTACTTACGTTTCGATGCGCTTCCAGACTACAGTGGCTCCAACGGACTTCCCCTAGGAATCCCCAAGCTCAACCGAACGATCAGCGACGTTTACCAGGACGAGCTCTTCAACCCGACCGTGATGCAGACACCTCAAATCGCAAAACAAAACCAGAACCAGAACTTGCTCGCTCCTTCGTACAACAACATCGTTGCCAACCGGTTACAAGCTGCCAACCAGGGCCATCTTTCTGCTCGCGTTGACTCTCCGATAAACCGGGACCGCTCTCCGTTCAGACAGAACTCTCCCATGGCCGCCGAGTACGAACACCATGCCATGACCAGCGCGCCTACCAGCCAGCCTGGGATGGTGATGCAGCACCACCCTCAGGTTGAGCCAAAGACCATCTCTCCGAAGGACGTGGCGCTGAACGATTTCAACGATGGAGACGACCATGGGCTGCCAGTCTACCAAAATGACTTCAATAACCAAAATGACTTCAACATTGGCGACACTCTTGGACTGCGACACGAGAACTTCCAGCCGGCTCCTAGTTTTCCATCGATGGATTCGTTCCCCTCGCAATTCAACCAGGCCCAATTTACGTTCAATCAGCCTCACAGCCGACGCCCGTCACAGCCGCAACAAAACTTCCTGCACCAAACCCCTGAGTTCCCTGCGTCGCTTCCTCGCTTTGAATCTACAAACAGTGAAGCTTACTCGAATGACCTGACTTCTCCTACTCTGGCAAAGACGACAGCGCCCATGCAGCGACCGCAGAACACCTCGTCGAACGGCGGCACCTACACGTGCACGTACCACGGGTGTACGCAGCGTTTCGAGACGCCGGCCGATCTACAGAAGCACAAACGCGAGGCGCATCGTCAAACGACACCGGGAGGTCACATGGTTGCGCGCGACGGGTCATCACGCAACTCGCAGGCTGGTCCCCACAAGTGCACCCGGCCGAATCCTTCGACCGGGAAGCCCTGCAATTCTGTCTTCTCCCGGCCTTACGATCTTACACGGCACGAAGACACGATCCACAACGCCCGCAAGCAAAAGGTTCGCTGCCACCTGTGCACGGAGGAGAAGACCTTCTCCCGCAATGATGCTCTGACACGGCACATGCGGGTCGTGCACCCCGAAGTGGAATGGCCCGGCAAACAGAAGCGCAGGGCACGAGAATAGACATCTCAACCACTATTCAGGGGGCTTGCACTACTGCTATGCTCGACCCTTGACCATACCAGCGAATGAGACGAACTGCCTGGGCGTTCACCGAGCGACCTAATGACTCGACATGACATGAGCCAGCCTCTGATGTCATAGGCGCCGCCCAATGGGGAAACGACCTGCTGACAAACGCGGATCGCCACGGGACCTTCCTCATCGAGTCACCAGGCATGACGTCATTGCTCCCACAACGGACGGTCCCTCGGCCCAAATGGGTCATCTCGATATTGATCATATTGTCACTGATGTTCAATGACGCATTCTTCTTCGTTCTATTATTACTTCTTATTGTCATGTATTGATTCAGCAAGCCAGCCTTGTATCCTTTCGCCAAATCGGCTATAGATTGCGTTTGTTATGTTTTGTGCATGGGTGGCAGCATCGTGGATCAAAAGACCGACTGTTATTGTTCTTTATACACGGGTGGGACGACTGTTATTATTGCATGCGGTGCTATGACCTTTTCGCTGTACTATATTGGCTTTATTACTACTGTACGATGTTATGATGTCCTGCATGATGGGTCTTTCGTTCGGTGTTTATACAGCATTGGCTTTTGTCGCGGGCGATCAAAATGACTCTGTATACTATGTACACTATCTACAAAAGAACTACTGACCTAATTGATCGAACTATTGATACTGGTCGAACTGCTCCTGTACTACGTATGAGATGATGCATGCAATGATGTAGTCGGAAGATCAGATCGGATCAATTGCCAATCACCACAGCGTCATTCGCGTCCATCGAGGTCATAGCTACACACTCCAGATACAACTCCAGGAGCAGAGCACCTCCCCGGAACGGAATAAGCACCCTACTGTACCCGTAGCCTCGGAACCGACCCATTGTCGTCTGCGGAGAAAACACCATGGGAATAATAATGAATACATGCATGCATCATAACCCCGTAAATCGTAACCAAAGTACGTAGTCCCTGCGCAGAAAGCCCGGGTCGCCGGGGAAGTGATGAAACGAACCGCCCAGCGCCGATCAAACGTCAGACAGAGTCAGAGTCAGACGGATTCCAGCTCCATTGACTCTGCGGAGCTGCGGAGCGGAGAACTGTGCTTTGCAAATGCGCAGACTCAGAGGAGACCGACCATTCAGGGGAATGGGAAGCCATAGATCTCGCTTTTGGACGGGTCCGATTCGTCGTTTGTTAATTCCGAGGGCGGGCATGTGGGGCGTGTTGCGCTGCAGCGCTGCAGTCTGCGGAGGCCCGAGGGACTACTGAGTAAGGTATGGCTTGGTAGTAAAGAATAGCTTGGCCTAACTTATTTACTAGTTACCCTAGCTAGTTTAGTCACGTGACCTAGCTTTATAGCTTACCTAAGTTTATTTTTAAACTTTACTTATAATTTTAGTTATAATTTAAATATAATAGTTATTAATATAATAAAGCCTTATATTACTTTTTAAGTAATATAAATATTAATAATTTTATTAAAACTTTATATTAAACTTTTTTTTAACTTTTTTTTACCCCTTTTTATTTTTTTTATTAATAATATTTTTGCTTATTATGCTAATTATTAAATTAATAATAAAAATTATTTAAAAATTATTTTATAACTTATTTTTATAGCTAATTTAAGCCTAGGCTATTTTTAAAAAATATATATAAATTTTAAATAATAAAATAATTTTTTTAAAGCTAGAGCTAAAGGTAAGTAAAACTATTATTATTAAAAAATAAAAGTTAAAAATACTTTTAAACTACTTTTTAATTTTTATTTTTTAACTTTTTTTAACCTTATATATATTTTTAAAAAGTATTTTAAAATTAATTATTTATAAAATAATAAAATAACTTATTTTTTTTAAAAAAAGCTTTGCTGCTAGGTTAAAGGCTATTTTAATAAAATAAGTTTTTTTAAATACTTATAAAAAGTATTTTTTAATTAATTTAAATAAAATTTAATATTATTAATAATTTTTATAGTTACTATACTAATAAGTATTTTATTATTTACTTTTTTACCTAGGTTTTTAAAAATAAAAAAAATATTAGGGGCTACCTAAAGGTTAGTAAAATTAAAAAAATTAAAAATAAGTTTAATTATTATTTATAAAAAATACTTTTTAACTAGTTTTATAAATTTTTATTAATTTATTATTAATAATTAAAAAACATGCTAGGCTATAAAGCTAGTTATTTTATTTTAACTTTTATTTAAATAAAATAAAAATATAAGTAAGTTATATTTTTTTATTAAAAGTACTTTTTAACTAGTTTTAATATAACCTTACTACTATAAAAAAAATAGTAAAAAAAAAGCTATAAAATTTTTTATAATATTTATAAGTTAAAAAAAGTACTAGCTAATAAGTTTTTTTATTTTATTAATTTTAAAAAATATTTTTTAACTAGTTTTAAAATACTGCTTATAAAAATAAATTAAAAATTATAATTATTTTAAGCTTTTTAAAAAGCTTAATGCTACTAGCTAGAATAATAAAAATAAAAAAAAAGTAAAAAAAAAAAGGTTATTAATACTATTATTATAAAAATTACTTTTTAAATAGTTTTTTTTATATCTTTTTTTATTTTTTTTTTTAATTTAGCAGGGCGCTTACGGGTATATTTTATATTTTTTACCTTTTTTTTAGTAAGGTATATATAATATTAACTACTTTAAAAATAATTTTTTAGTTTTTAGTTTTTTTTTATATATAATAAGCTATAATTAAATACCTTAAATTATAATAAACTTTACTTTTTTATAATTAAGTTTAAACTAGCTTTAATAATTTTTAAACTAGTTTTATTTTTAAATATAGGCCTATTAAAAACTAGTTATTTTTAAAAAAAAATAAAAAGGTAATTATTATTTTTTTAAATTTAAAGTACTTTTAATTAGGGCTAAACTAGTTTAGTTTAAGGTTATAAAAAAAATTAATAAAAGTAAAATTTAAACTAAGTATATAGCTTATTATATAAAATACCCTTAAATTATTAGGCTTAATTACTTTAAAAGTACTTTTAGTATTACTAAGTGGCTAAAAATTTTTAAAAAATTTATTTACTTATTTTTAATTAAAAACTTATTTTTAAATTTTTATTACTATATTATACTTACTAGGCTAAAAAATATATTTTAAGCTTATTTATTTTTTACTTATTTTATATATTTTACTTAATAAAAATAGTTTATTAATAACTTAAAGTAATTTATTTTTTATATGCATGCTATATTAAAGGTTTTAATTAATAAATATATATATTTTTATAATATTTATATTTTAACTAGCTAGTATATTAAAACTTAATTATTATAATATAAAATTATATTAACATGTTATTAAAGCTAAGTAAATAATAAAATTTTATTTTTAAATAAGTAACTAAAGTATTTTTAAAAATATTTAAATTAATTTAAAACTAGTTTTAATTACTAAAATTATTAACCTTTTTTTTAATATATTTAATAACTTTAGTAAATATAGCAGGCCCCCTAGCTATTTTATTATAAAAATATTATTTTAATTAAGCTAGCTTTTTAAAATTAATTTTAATTTTACCCTTAACTTTTAATTTTTAGCCCTCCACATGGGTGGTAGTAGGAGAAATTTAAAAAATATTAAAAAATTTAAAATAGTTAGTAAGTACTTAAAAACTAGTTTTTTAGTAAACTTATAATATTAATATATATTTTTAAATAGGTATAATAATAAAAGTATTAAAATAATATTAATATTAAAAGAATTTAGCCCTAGGGTAAAGCAGGCTTTATTAACTTATATAATATATTAATAAGTAGGTGTAGTAAAATTAGCCTTAAAAAATTATTAATATTAAAGTAGTTTTTTTTATAAGTAAAATAATTTTTAGGGTATATTAAAATATATAAAACATGTTATTTATAAAGTATAGCTAAAGTTATATTAAAGTATTATTAGTATAAAACTAGTTTTTATATAAAATAAAGTATTTTACTTTTTTATATAATATAATTAAAACTAAAAGCCCCTAGCATGTATAAATTTAAAAAAACTTAACTTAAATAAAATTTTATTAAAATTATTTTTTACTTTTTATAACTTTTTTTACTTTACTATATTAAAAGCCTTATATTTCCGGTATATTAAAAAGGTTAAAAGTAGTTTTAAAGTAGTTTTAAAGTAGTTTTAATATATATATAATTTTTTATATATACTTAAAATATTATTTATATATATTATTTATGCGGTATTTATGCTAAGTTTTATAAAAAACTTTTATATAATATTAATTTATATTATATTAATTAAGCTACCGGGAGCTGCCTTAAAATTAGTAATTAAAAATAATTTTTATAATAAATAAAGTAATTTTAACCTTATAACTATACTAAGTAGTAACTTTTAAGTATTTAAAAAGTAAAACTTATAATAATTTTACTTAATAGTATTAATATTTTCCTGGATTTACTTATAATAATTAGGTAGAATTTAAAAATAAGCTTAATTAAAACTAGTAGTAATAATTAAATAAGCTTTATATTTAATCTAATTATAAATAAAGGTATTTTTATATATTAATTAAAGTTAAAATTAGTTTTAAAGTATTTTAAAAAATAAAAAAATATACTTTAAAATAATTTATAAAAATTAAAATAATTTTTTAGAGTTTTAGTAATAAGCAAGCTTTTTATATAATAATTAATAAATATATAATACTCCTCCCAAGGGCAAAGCTTTTAAATAATTTAAAAAAAATAAATATAATATATAATAAAAATATTTTTTAACTACCATGTTTAAATATAATTATAAAAATTTTTTTTTTAAAAATATTAGCCTAATTTTAAAACTAGTTTAGCCTAAGGTAAAAGTAATTTTATATAAAGCTTATTAGTTATTTACTTTATATATATATTTACTATAATACCCTTAATACTAATATTATAAAGGTAAAAAAACTAGCTAAAAAACCCTTATATAAAAGTAATAAGGCTAAAAACCTTTTTAAA